GTTTGGGGGTCTCGGTGAGCCTTACCTCAGGGTACCACCCGGAGAGTAACAGGGCAGGTAGAACGAGTCAACCAGGATGTGGGTAGGTTTCTGAGATCGTATTGCCAGGACCGGCCTGAGGAGTGGGCTCGGTACATTCCCTGGGCCGAGATGGCCCAGAACTCTCTCCGCCACTCCTCTACCAACCTAACCCCCTTCCAATGTGTGTTAGGTTACCAGCCGGTTCTGGCACCTTGGCAGCAGAGCCAGATCGAGTCCCCCTGCGGTGGATGATTGGATGAGGCGCTCGGAGGAGACGTGGAACACTGCACACGTCCACCTGCAGCGGGCCATCCGTCGTCACAAGGCGAGCGCCGATCTCCACCGCAGTGAGGGGCCGGTGTACGCACCCGGAGATCGAGTCTGGCTCTCTACCAGAAACCTACCCCTCCGCATGCCCTGCCGGAAGCTGGGTCGGCGGTTTATGGGGCCTTTTAAAGTCCTGAGAAGATTGAACGAGGTGTGTTATAGGTTACATCTGCCTGTTGAATATAAATATATTAACCCCTCGTTCCATGTGTCTCTTCTCAGGCCGGTGGTAGCTGGTCCACTCCAGGAAAGTGAGATAGGAGAGACTCCTCCGCCCCCACTGGACATCGAGGGGGCTCCGGCGTACACCGTTCGGTCCATCTTGGACTCAAGACGCCGGATGGGGGGTCTCCAGTATCTCGTGGAGTGGGAGGGGTACGGCCCGGAGGAGCGGTGCTGGGTGCCGCGGAGGGACATCCTAGACCCATCTCTCCTGTCGGAGTTCCACCGGGACCATCCCGCGCGCCCTGCTCCGTGCCCTCCTGGTCGTCCCCGAGGGCGGGTCGGCGCACGGCTGGAGCCGCGCGTCAAGGGAGGGGGTACTGTCACGGTTTCGGCCGAGGCTGCTCCTCCTCCTTGTTCGGGCAGGTTTCGGCGGTCGTCGTCCCCGGAGTACTAGCTGCCACCGATCTATGTTTCATGTTCGTTTGGTTTTGTCTTGATGTTGTACACCTGTGTCTAGTTAGTCCTCATTAGTGTCCTATTTAGTTCTCGTTGTGTGTGTATGGTGTTGTGTGTGATTGCTCTTCTGTTTGGTGTTCTGAGCGACGTACTTCCCTCCGTTGTTTGGAGAGGTTTTCGCACATGTTAGTGCGCCTTTTGTTTGACGCCTGTGTGCGCCTTTATTTCGCCTCCGGGCTTATTGTGCTCGTGTACTACGTGAATAATTCACTAAAGTCTTTTGGACTTAGCTTCTGCGTCCTGCGCTTGATTCCTGCACCACACCCACCTTCAGCACCCCTGACACCACCACTGTGACCTGTACGCTCTTGTTGGCTGGTCCTCACTACATACAGTGGGGAGAACAAGTATTTGATACACTGCCGATTTTGCAGGTTTTCCTACTTACAAAGCATGTAGAGGTCTGTAATTTTTATCATAGGTACACTTCAACTGTGAGAGACGGAATCTAAAGAGACAAAAAGAGACAAAAATCCAGAATATCACATTGTAGGATTTTTAAGTAATTAATTTGCATTTTATTGCATGACATAAGTATTTGATCACCTACCAACCAGTAAGAATTCCGGCTCTCACAGACCTGTTAGTTTTTCTTTAAGAAGCCCTCCTGTTCTCCACTCATTACCTGTATTAACTGCACCTTTTTGAACTCGTTACCTGTATAAAAGACACCTGTCCACACACTCAATCAAACAGACTCCAACCTCTCCACAATGGCCAAGACCAGAGAGCTGTGAAAGGACATCAGGGATAAAATTGTAGACCTGCACAAGGCTGGGATGGGCTACAGGACAATAGGCAAGCAGCTTGGTGAGAAGGCAACAGCTGTTGGCGCAATTATTAGAAAATGGAAGAAGTTCAAGATGACGGTCAATCACCCTCGGTCTGGGGCTCCATGCAAGATCTCACCTCATGGGGCATCAATGATCATGATGAAGGTGAGGGATCAGCCCAGAACTACACGGCAGGACCTGGTCAATGACCTGAAGAGAGCTGGGACCACAGTCTCAAAGAAAACCATTAGTAACACACTAGGCCGTCATGGATTAAAATCCTGCAGCGCACGCAAGGTCCCCCTGCTCAAGCCAGTGCATGTCCAGGCCCGTCTGAAGTTTGCCAATGACCATCTGGATGATCCAGAGGAGGAATGGGAGAAGGTCATGTGGTCTGATGAGACAAAAATATAGCTTTTTGGTCTAAACTCCACTCGCCGTGTTTGGAGGAAGAAGAAGGATGAGGACAACCCCAAGAACACCATCCCAACCGTGAAGCATGGAGGTGGAAACATCATTCTTTGGGGATGCTTTTCTGCAAAGGGGACAGGACGACTGCACCGTATTGAGGGGATGATGGATGGGGCCATGTATCGCGAGATCTTGGCCAACAACCTCCTTCCCTCAGTAAGAGCTTGAAGATGGGTCGTGGCTGGGTCTTCCAGCATGGCAACGACCCGAAACACACAGCCAGGGTAACTAAGGAGTGGCTCCGTAAGAAGCATCTAAAGGTCCTGGAGTGGCCTAGCCAGTCTCCAGACCTGAACCCAATAGAAAATCTTTGGAGGGAGCTGAAAGTCCGTATTGCCCAGCGACAGCCCCGAAACCTGAAGGATCTGGAGAAGGTCTGTATGGAGGAGTGGGCCAAAATCCCTGCTGCAGTGTGTGCAAACCTGGTCAAGACCTACAGGAAACGTATGATCTCTGTAATTGCAAACAAAGGTTTCTGTACGAAATATTAAGTTCTGCTTTTCTGATGTATCAAATACTTATGTCATGCAATAAAATGCAAATTAATTACTTAAAAATCATACAATGTGATTTTCTGGATTTTAGTTTTAGATTCCGTCTCTCACAGTTGAAGTGTACCTATGATAAAAATTACAGACCTCTACATGCTTTGTAAGTAGGAAAACCTGCAAAATCGGCAGTGTATCAAATACTTGTTCTCCCCATTGTATATGTTCGTCGTCAAACCCACTGGCTCCAGGCCATCTATAAATCACTGCTAGGCAAATCCCCGCCTTATCTTAGCTCATTGGTCACCATAGCAGCACCCACCCGTAGTCTGCGCTCCAGCAGGTATATCTCACTGGTCATTCCCAAAGCCAACACCTCCTTTGGCCGCCATTCCTTCCAGTTCTCTGCTGCCAATGACTGGAACGAATTGCAAAAATCTCTGAAGCTGGAGACTCTTATCTCCCTCACTAACTTTAAGCATCAGTTGTCAGAGCACCTTACCGATCACTGCACCTGTACACAGCCCATCTGAAATTAGCCCACCCAACTACCTCATCCCATATTGTTATTTATTTTGCTCTTTTGCACCCCAGTATCTCTATTTGCACATAATCTCTTGCACATCTAGCATTCCAGTGTTAATACTAATTGTAATTATTTTGCACTATAGCCTATTTATTGCCTTACCTCCATAACTTGCTACATTTGCACACACTGCATACTGTTTATGTTTTTTTACCCCATATGTAACTCTGTGTTGTTGTTTTTATCGCACTGCTTTGCTTTATCTTGGCCAGGTCGCAGATGTAAATGAGAACTTGTTCTCAACTGGTTTACCTGGTTAAATAAAGGTGAAATAAAATAAAAAAATAACAATTCTATTCAATATGATCTAAAAGGCAAAACTAATCCTAGATCAGCACACTTACCGGTCCTGGTCGATTAAACACACTAAGGTCTACTAGACTCTCCCCAAGCTCATTGCTGTGTAATAGAACACTAAAACACAAAGGGTATTGGTAGACCACTTGATATGATTAATTACAATGAACATTCAAAGCTCCCCCTGTGGGTAAAATCAATTGTCCTGATTCAATGCACAGTAAGTCATCCAGGTGAGCTGAACTGAATCGATCGATCTAAATGGACGAGATCAATTTTGGATTGCTCAAAGGGTTCAGTTTTTGCAGACTTCTCCATATTTTCTCACATCAGTATGAAAACATACAAATACAAACATGCAACTCAATCAGGTTCCATTCAATTCAATGGTATTAGCCCCCTTGGGGGCAATTAGGAATAATACACCATGTGATGAAACTAAGATTTGGCCATTGAAAATAAACATTATATACATATGTTCAGTATATGGACATCATAGCTGTCACGGTTCGGCGAGGCGTGCTCCTCCTCTCCTTGTTCGGGGGCAGGCTTCGCGGTCGTCGTTCCCCAGGAGTACTAGCTGCCAACCGTTCGATGTTTCATGTTTGTTGGGTTTGTCTGTTTGTACACCTGTCCCTTGTTAGTGTTTGATTTTGGTTTCCTATTTAGTTATCGTGTGTTGGGTCAGGTGTTATGTGTGATTGTGGATGTCAGCTGTTACTGTTGATGGGTTTTCTCTCTCGTATTGTTTGTTGTCGAGAGTCCGCACTGCGTGCGCCTTTTCTTGTTTTTACGCACTGTTGTGTGTGTGCGTAATTTGTTCTTGCCTCCCGGTTGGGTTGGCTATTCACCTGTTTGGAGTTCATTTTTGGATTACTAAAGTCTGTTGACGAACACCCTTGTTCCTGCGCTTGATTCCCTGCACCACATCCACACTCAGCGTTCTGACAATAGCATTTCACGTCTGAGCCATCCCTGTAAGCAACCTCGATGAAACATATCCAATATCAAAGCACTAATCATATCACACACATGCACACAAACAAACACACACACACACACACACTCTGCATCATCAAACTCAGGCCTGGCACCAAGGCTGTTCACTCACTCTAAAATATGAATATGCTGTCCTGATTATATCAGCTGGGTTAAAGGCTGCTGTCTCTGAATATCTGTCCACCACTGTGTATGAGTGTGTACCAATGATACTGTCACTGTTAGTCTTTTGTTGTATATTTTGCTATGGGTGGGTGAGTGTGTTAAGGAAGTCTGTTTGAATCTGTTGTGCTCAAAGGTGTTTGTGCTTTGTGATGCTCGGCAGCTCCTTTAAAAACCCATCAGGGAGAAGAGTCACTAGTCACTATGACAGGATGTGACGCAGAGAACTATATGACTCTCAAAGAGATTGTGTGTGTGTGCATGCATTTGTTTTTTTTAGGGGGTGGATCAGCTTTAATATTGCATATATATTGTGGCTTCTATCAATGTAATTGTCTGCATCATTTCCAATCCCCCATTGATATTGTTTTATAAATATATATTTACTACCGTTCAAAAGTTTGGGGTCAATTAGAAATGTCCTTGTTTTCCATGAACACATACATGAAATGAGTTTGAATAGGAAATATAGCAAAAATGAATAGGAAATGTAGTCATTGACAAGGTTAGAAATAATGATTTTCAATTGAAATAATAATTGTGTCCTTCAAACTTTGCTTTCGTCAAAGAATCCTCCATTTGCAGCAATTACAGCCTTGCAGACCTTTGGCATTCTAGTTGTCAATTTGTTGAGGTAATGTGAAGAGATTTCACCCCATGCTTCCTATTTGTCCTCTTGCTCAGTTGTGCACCGGGGCCTCCCACTCCTCTTTCAATTCTGGTTAGAGCCAGTTTGCGCTGTTCTGCGAAGGGAGTAGTACACAGCGTTGTACGAGATCTTCAGTTTCTTGGCAATTTCTCGCATGGAATAGCGTTAATTTCTCAGAACAAGAATAGGCTGACGAGTTTCAGAAGAAAGTTATTTGTTTCTGGCCATTTTGAGCCTGTAATCGAACCCACAATTGCTGATGCTCCAGATACTCAACTAGTCTCAAGAAGGCCAGTTTTATTGCTTCTTTAATCAGCACAACAGTTTTCAGCTGTGCTAACATAATTGCAAAAGGGTTTTCTAATGATCATTTAGCCTTTTTAAATGATAAACTTGGAATAGCAAACACAATGTGCCATTGGAACACAGGACTGATGGTTGCTGATAATGGTCCTCTGTACGCCTATGTAGATATTCCATTAAAAATCAGCCGTTTCCAGCTACAATAGCCATTTACAACATTAACAATGTCTACACTGTATTTCTGATCAATTTGATGTTAATGGACCAAAAAATTGCTTTTCTTTCGAAAACAAGGACATTTCTAAGTGACCCCAAACTTTTGAACGGTAGTGTATATACAGCTCTGGAAAAAATTAAGAGACCACTGCAACTTTTTCTTAAATCAGCATCTCTACATGTATGACAGCCATTCCATTCCAGTGTCTGTTGAATTCCAACACAGGCACACCTCATTCTACTGAATTAGGTACTGATTAGGTGATCACATGAACCAAATCTTATTTAACGAGGAAAAGTATAAAAACCACTGCTGTGGTCATCACTATCCTCTTGCAATAGGACCAGCTGGATGGCAAAAACAGTGCTAATAGTACCTCAAAAGTAATATTAATCAAAAAATAACTATTGACCATGCCAAAAGAGTTGAAAAGGAAAGTTTTGAGTGAGGAAAAGAAGGGTTCAATTCTGGCTTTACTGGCAGAGGGATACAGTGAGCGTCAGGTTGCTTCCATCCTTAAAATTTCAAAGACGGCGGTTCATAAGAACAAGGTCAAGCAGCAGACATTGGGGACAACAAAGCTACAGACCGGCAGAGGGCGAAAACGACTCTCTACTGACCGGGATGACCGCCAACTCATTCGAATGTCACTCAACAACCGTAGGATGACATCAAGTGACGTACAAAAAGAATGGCAAACGGCAGCTGGGGTGAAGTGCATGGCGAGGACTTTTCAAAACAGGCTCCTAGGGGCAGGGCTGAAGTCGTGCAAAGCTAGAAAAAAGCCCTTCATCAATGAGAAGCAAAGAAGAGCCAGGCTGAGGTTTGCAAAAGACCATAAGGATTGGACCGTAGAGGACTGGAGTAAGGTCATCTTCTCTGATGAGTCCAATTTTCAGCTTTGCCCAACACCTGGTCATCTAATGGTTAGACGGAGACCTGGAGAGGCCTACAAGCCACAGTGTCTCGCACCCACTGTGAAATTTGGTGGAGGATCGGTGATGATCTGGAGGTGCAAGGCTGGACTCGGGCAGATTTGTATTTGTGAAGGACGCATGAATCAAGCCACATACAAGGTTGTCCTGGAAGAAAACCTGCTTCCTTTTGCTCTGACATTGTTCCCCAACTCTGAGGATTGGTTTTTCCAGCAGGACAATGTGCCATGCCACACAGCCAGGTCAATCAAGGTGTGGATGGAGGACCACCAGATCAAGACCCTGTCATGGCCAGCCCAATCTCCAGACCTGAACCCCATTGAAAACTTCTGGAATGTGATCAAGAGGAAGATGGATGGTCACAAGCCATCAAACAAAGCCGAGCTGCTTGAATTTTTGCGCCAGGAGTGGCATAAAGTCACCCAACATCAATGTGAAAGACTGGTGGAGAGCATGCCAAGACGCATGAAAGCTGTCATTGAAAATCAGGGTTATTCCAACAAATATTGATTTCTGAACTCTTCCTAAGTTAAAACATTACTATTGTGTTGTTTGAAAATGAACATGAACAGCCTGTGGTGCGCGTCGTCAGCCCGGTCCGACCTGTTCCTGCTCCTCGCACCAAGCCAGTGGTGCGCGTCGTCAGCCCGGTCCGGCCCGTTCCTGCTCCCCGCACCAAGCCAGTGGTGCGCGTCGACAGCCCGGTCCGGCCCGTCCCTGCTCCCCGCACCAAGGCAGTGGTGCGCGTTGCCAGCCCGGTCCGGCCGGTTCCTGCTCCCCGCACCAAGCCAGTGGTGCGCGTCATCAGTCCGGCACAGCCCGTGCCTGTTCCACCGGTGCCTGGTCAGGTACCGGTCAGCTGCTCCACACCGGAGCCTAAGCAATCCGCTCCACCGATGTCCAGCTCCAGCCAGCGGGACCAGACCAGGGGCGCTACGGGGGGGTAGCTAGAGAGTGGTGGTCACGCCCGGAGCCAGATCCGCCTCCGAGGCGGAATGCCCACCCGGCCCCTCCCCTGTTGGGTTTAGTTGGCGCGGTTGCAGTCCGCGCCTTTGGGGGGGGGGGGGGGGGGGGGTACTGTCACGCCCTGGCTCTGGGGACTCTTATATGTTGAGCCAGGGTGTTAGTTTCTATGTTTAGTGTTCTATGTTCATGTTCTAGTTCATGTGTTCTATGTTGGCCGGGGTGGTTCCCAATCAGAGGCAGCTGTGGCTTGTTGTCTCTGATTGGGAACCATACTTAGGCAGCCTGTTTTGCACTTGTCATTTGTGGGATCTTGTTCCGGAGAGGTTTGTGTTTTGTTAACCTTAGGACTTCACGTATCGTTTTGTTGTTTTGTTATTGTTAATAAGTACTCATTAAAAGATGTACGCATATCACGCTGCGCCTTGGTCCGTTGCTTACGACGATCGTGACAACTGCATATTTTTTGTTATTTTGAACAGTTGTCATTTTCTGCAAATAAATGCTCTAAATGACAACATTTCTATTTGGAATTTGGGAGAAATGTTGTCAGTAGTTTATAGAATAAAACAAAAATGTTATTTTTACCCAAACACATACATATAAATAGTAAAACCAGAGAAATTGATAATTTTGCAGTGGTCTCTTAATTTTTTCCGCAGCTGTATATACAGTGAGGGAAAAAAGTATTTGATCCCCTGCTGATTTTGTACGTTTGCCCACTGACAAAGAAATTATCAGTCTATAATTTTAATGGTAGGTTTATTTGAACAGTGAGAGACAGAATAACAACAAAAAAATCCAGAAAAACGCATGTCAAAAATGTTATAAATTGATTTGCATTTTAATGAGGGAAATAAGTATTTGACCCCTCTGCAAAACATGACTTAGTACTTGGTGGCAAAACCCTTGTTGGCAATCATAGAGGACAGACGTTTCTTGTAGTTGGCCACCAGGTTTGCACACATCTCAGGAGGGATTTTGTCCCACTCCTCTTTGCAGATCTTCTCCAAGTCATTAAGGTTTCGAGGCTGACGTTTGGCAACTCAAACCTTCAGCTCCCTCCACAGATTTTCTATGGGATTAAGGTCTGGAGACTGGCTAGGCCACTCCAGGACCTTAATGTGCTTCTTCTTGAGCCACTACTTTGTTGCCTTGGCCGTGTTTTTTGGGTCATTGTCATGCTGGAATACCCATCCACGACCCATTTTCAATGCCCTGGCTGAGGGAAGGAGGTTCTCAACCAAGATTTGACAGTACATGGCCCCGTCCATCGTCCCTTTGATGCGTTGAAGTTGTCCTGTCCCCTTAGCAGAAAAACACCCCCAAAGCATAATGTTTCCACCTCCATGTTTGACGGTGGGGATGGTGTTCTTGGGGTCATAGGCAGCATTCCTCCTCCTCCAAACACGGCGAGTTGAGTTGATGCCAAAGAGCTCCATTTTGGTCTCATCTGACCACAACACTTTCACCCAGTTCTCCTCTGAATCATTCAGATGTTCATTGTCAAACTTCAGACGGGCATGTAGATGTGCTTTCTTGAGAAGGGGGACCTTGCGGCGCTGCAGGATTTCAGTCCTTCACGGCGTAGTGTGTTACCAATTGTTTTCTTGGTGACTATGGTCCCAGCTGCCTTGAGATCATTGACAAGATCCTCCCGTGTAGTTCTGGGCTGATTCCTCACCGTTCTCATGATCATTGCAACTCCACGAGGTGAGATCTTGCATGGAGCCCCAGGCCGAGGGAGATTTACAGTTATTTTGTGTTTCTTCGATTTGCGAATAATCGCACCAACTGTTGTCACCTTCTCACCAAGCTGCTTGGCAATGGTCTTGTAGCCCATTCCAGCCTTGTGTAGGTCTACAATCTTGTCCCTGACATCCTTGGAGAGCTCTTTGGTCTTGGCCATGGTGGAGAGTATGGAATCTGATTGATTGATTGCTTCTGTGGACAGGTGTCTTTTATACAGGTAACAAACTGAGATTAGGAGCAGTCCCTTTAAGAGCATGCTCCTAATCTCAGCTCGTTACCTGTATAAAAGACACCTGGGAGCCAGAAATCTTTCTGATTGAGAGGGGGTCAAATACTTATTTCCCTCATTAACATGCAAATCAATTTATAACATTTTTGACATGCGTTTTTCTGGATTTTTTTGTTGTTATTCTGTCTCTTACTGTTCAAATAAACCTACCATTAAAATTATAGACTGATCATTTCTTTGGCAGTGGGCAAACGTACAAAATCAGCAGGGGATCAAATACTTTTTTCCCTCACTGTATATATTTTTTATGTATATACAGTATTTTCCTTTATTATTTTCCCCTAACCCTACCACCCCTCACCTAATTGGAGTAAACTAATGGACAACAACACTTAGGCTTCCACTTCCAGCTTATACATACTATATACATTTTAGGGACAAGGTATATTTTACATTAGTTATCATTTGTTTGTTTTTAATCCCACCCTTCAGCTCCCCTCAACACCTCTCATCTACCTCTGAACACCATCCAGTTTTGATTTCTATTTGCCATATATTTTTCTACTATGCTGTGATGTTTCACAAAAGTTCTGAACCTATATACATTTTACACAGTATATTTTACATTAGTTATCTCGTTTATTTTTTATTTTTAGTCCCACCCTTCAGCTCCCCTCAACACCTCTCATCTATCTCTGAACACCATCCAGTTTTGATTTCTATTTGCCATATAATCTTCAACTGTTGGGGAGTTAAAAAATAAATAATTATGACACCCCCCCAGTACATTTCGAACTGTCCCTTATAGGGTAAGCATTAGAATAGTCTACGTCGCCTCAATATTTGCAGCCATAGGTGATAATATCTCTCTAGGAGCTGATCCGTTGTCAGTATTGTGGAATCATTCTCCTTCTAACGACGCACTTAGTGAACGTTCTCTCTATGTGGTGTTTTGGGAAACGCATGTGACAACTTTGGCCGTTATAAGAACGATGCATTGTTAAAACATTCGTAAGCTTAAGATCCATCGCTATTGGGAAACTGGGCTCTTGTCTGACCCCTTATTCAACATCTCTTCATTATAAAAATCTGACCATGACGTAATGCCACAAAGAGGCAGCATGACAGTGTGTTATAATCAGCTGATTGGTACCTGACGCTGTCAATCAGCTGCTGATGGTCTTCATTGGTTAAGATGTCCGGGAGGGCTTCAGCTAGGTTCTCCACATTCCTCTCGGCTGCGTACTGCTTCAGAACACCAAACAGCTGTTCCTTTATATCTGGCTCATCACCAAGCACCTCCTCCACCTGCAAGAAGATAAACACAACTTCCTGTTGACCTCTGTGGGCTTGTGTGTGTGGAGACCTCCACAGATGGAGACACAGACAGAGACAGAGATGGAGACGGAGACGGAGACAGACACAGAGACAGAGACAGACGCAGAGACAGAGACGGAGATGGAGACAGACACAGACACAGAGACAGAGACAGAGACAGAGACAGAGACAGAGACAGAGACAGAGACAGAGACAGAGACGGAGATGGAGTAGGACACAGACACAGACACAGAGACAGACGCAGAGACAGAGACGGAGATGGAGACAGACACAGACACAGACACAGACACAGACACAGACACAGAGACGGAGATGGAGACAGACACAGACACAGACACAGAGACAGACGCAGAGACAGAGACGGAGATGGAGACAGACACAGACACAGAGACAGAGACAGAGACAGAGACAGAGTCGGAGATGGAGACAGACACAGAGACAGACAAAAATGCAGACACACACACACTCACCCTACACACACACACCCCTACCACCCACACACCTTCTTGTTAAACTCCAGGGCCTTGTGTGCACGGTCCTGCCTGACGCTATCGCCGCTCAGTGACACCTCCCTCATACTGTGGCTGAGGCGCTTGATCCTCCGTCTCATACTGAGCACGCCCAGACGCAGTGGGCGCCCCTGCGCCACCTTGATCATGGCCGCTGCCGTTTCGTGATGCTTGACGGGGATCCCGTTGACCTCCATGACGTAGTCGCCGGCCCGGAGGCCACTGCGGCCCGCCGGGGAGTTGGGCAGGCAGTCATCCACCAGGAGGGGGCAGTCTCCCACGATGGTGAAGCCGAAACGGCCGTCGGGGCCTGGGTTGATGTCCATCTAGGGAAGGGGAACCAACAGTCAGATTAAAATTAGATGTGAAGTCAATGAACTGTCTATTTGATAAGTATCTGCATGGAAAGTAATGGAGGTTGTTTTAAAAGTACATGTCATTTTGCCCTAGACTTATGTGTTACCCAGCTCCCAGTTCCAGATCAGTAGTAGTGATCACACTGGGGCTTATGTAACATGCAACAACACTGTCACAAACAACTCCTATCTGCCTTTCAAAAATGTCTCTAATGAAAAACCGAGGTCAAATGTCCACTATCTGCATCACTGAAGCCTAAATGATCTCCCATCTGTTCCAGACCTGTTCTATGCGTGACACCACTCCGATGCTGGGGGGTACAGTCTTCAGAGTCTGTGCCAGGGCCACCAAGGCCTGGGTGCTGAGAGAGGACACCTCCTGGCCCTCGATGTCCACCACCTGGTCCCCAGGCTGCAGGCCCGCCAGGTAGGCACTGCTGCCCTCAATCACAGACAGGATGTAGCTGGGGCCCGCGCCCCCCAGAGTGAACCCAAACTCCTCCGGCCAGTTCTGATTGGTCGCCGGGAGGGTCAGGTCTGGAGAGTAGTCAGGATTGGGTTGGTTACTTAAGCCTGTTATACATAGCCTGGGTGCCAGTCTGTTTCTGCTGTCTTGACAACTCCTTATGGAACATGTTTGACTTAGCAATGACAGCAATGTAGTTGGCAAGAGCACAAACAGATCTGGGACCAGGATACTTCTAACACAAACACTGCTATTACCAAGGTCTAGAGTCCATGCTTTTCTCAAATACTATCCCCAAATATAGCAGATTATAGACACAGGCACATGCACGCCTCCTGCTGTGGTAGAATGGTAAAACATTATGGGTACTTATTTGTTTTACACCAGTAGGAGGCGTGGCGAGATTCAGGAACTATAATGAGAATCCAGGTTTCCCCAAATACACTGGTGGAGACCCAGGTAAGACCAGGGTCAGACCTGCCTCTGGACCAGGGATCCAAAGCAGGGTCTGATAACCTGGGATGACCTGAACACACTGAAGACAGAGCCCAGGTAAAACCAGGGTACCTTGATGTATTTGGGGCATAAGAGTGTAGATTATTTTAATAACAATGTCATGCAATGTCACATTATGATACCATTTAAATGGAGACTCAGCGATATGAGCAGCTGTGTGAAGAACCAAAGCTACTGGAGAGTGAGTGCCATGCAAGAGGCTGCACTTGTGAGCATGCACACCACAGAGCATCTGCACATGTTCACGAGAGTTTGCGTCACTCTCCTGCAACGTGATAGCTGCGTGACAACAACAGCGGAGGAGATTTGCCTCTTGCTTCGCGCTCTTTGATGTTTTGGAAGTCATCCCGATCTGCTAACGGTACATTTGTATCGCTGAGTCTACCTTTAACTACATTGTAGTCTCTTTTCACAGTTGCTTGTCTCACTGAGGCGGAGACAAGCGGCAGTGAAGAGACTACTACACTGTAGCTGTACTTGACTGACCCGGGTTCAAATAATATTTGAAATAATTGTAAATACTTTATCTGGGCTTGATTGAGCTTGCCCGGCACAACTGAACCAATGGAATAGTTTGCAAAACTACAAATCCCACCCATCTGGAACCCCAGGCAGGCTAAAGCAAACTGTAAAAGTATTTGAAAGATTTAAAATAGTATTTGAACCCAGATCTGGGACTTGAAACTAGTTTAAAAGTCTTACTGATATTCATTGGATTATTCATTGGAGGACAGCCCATTTGTTGACGGAAAGCATCATCTGAATGGGCGAGAGAACCAGAGACTGAAGCATCACAAAAATGAAATGGGTTGAGAAGGTTTTTCTGCTCTTAAGGGGCATCCACAATGGTCAAACACAGTGTGTTTTTAACAGACACTATCATACCTCCATAGTATAACGCCCCGCTTGGAGGGTTCGAGAGGGGAACGTCAACTATAGGAAAAAACTTGACTTTATTATATAATAGCAATCAATAAGAAATAACTTCATCAATAACAAATAAATATAATTTTATTCTGAAGAGTGAATATAGTCAATGTTTAGAGAGATCAAATATAAGCACCACCTGTCCTCTCCATCAAGAACAGGTCAAACTGAATACGTTTCCACCATATTGTTTTTACCGATCAAGTTCCTTCAAGTTCCTTTAAGACCAGTGATCATGAGGAACAGAACATGAGGGAAGGATGCTGTTTTAGCCTGTCTGTCATATCTTTCTGTTCTGAACTGCTGGCCCTCCCCTGGTCACTGGCCTCATTCTCATACTGCAGTCAACGGGTGCAACTCAATACTCTAAAATGGCTTCCTATCCTTGTTTCCTCTCACGCATCTGCACTGATCTGAACAGACGCGATAGCTGAAGGCAAAGTGGCAGAGACAGGCCTATCAAAATTACTTGCTTTCTCTTGTCCAGTTGTTTCAGATCAGGGCAGTTGAAGGAAAGCTGGATACAACAGGAGGAAACGTCTTTAGAGTATTGAGATGTACCCATTCATTCTCCTTTCTCTCCTGTACCAGACTGTTAACCTCCTAACACTGGAGTCTACAGCTGCAGCCTCATTCATTTTAATAGGCCATATGATAATGTAATCCTATGAGGATTAATGTTTAATGAAAAGATTAATGGGTTCCATGACTACAGCAGGCAGTTTATGCAATTTCAGTACAAGTCAATGACTTAAGTGGCAATCTTTCACTCATTAGCAAGGGGTGCATGAAGACACACACGTGCGCGCGCGCACACACACACACACACACACACACACACACACACACACACACACACACACACACACACACACACACACACACACACACACACACACACACACACACACACACACACACACACACACTCTCTCTCTTTCTCTCTTTCTGTCTGTCGCTCTCTCTCTCTCTTTCTGTCTCTCTCTTTCTGTTTCTCTTTCTGTCTCTCTTTCTCTCTCTCGTTCAGCACCAATGTGTATAGGTATGTTGAACAAGAAATGGATGGTCAGGGTTAGATCAGTTTGAGACAATTCAAAAGAGAAACTCTGGCTACAGTGGCATCATGACATATTTCTACACTGCCTTTGCAGGGAAAATAAAAAAGTGATGGTGTTATGAAAATGTACGAGCCCCGGATTATCCGGATAAAAGTTCAGAACACAGCAAGTGAGAACACGTCGTTCTATTTTTCACTTTGTAAGCCTCCATGTATTGTGTCATAAAACAACAAAGTCTAAAGTAACGTGTCAAAATAAATTGGGACATCTTAGACCTGTGAGAAAGTACATTGGTTAAATCAAACATTTATTTCTCTGATGTACCAGGACACACAACCCCACCGTCGAGTTTAACTTCCCACAGCCTTCTTCTCCCTTCTCCAAATCTGAAATAGTTGTGAAGCCTGCGACCTAGATACACACACAGCTTTAGTCCTTTTGTTATCTTCTGTCTCTCCTCCTCTCTCCAGAAGAGAGGGATGAAGCAGATAAGAGGAATAATAAAAAGGAATTAAAGTAAAGACTTACAGAAATCTTTGGAGGCACCGCGAGGTCCAGACTTGCTCTGGCGCAGTGAGAAGCGGCCCTTGCGGCTCAGAAAGCGCCTCATCTTGACCCTGGTGGTGTCCACTGAGAGGTCAAGGTTCGCGAGGACACGTCCAGCCAACGGCCCAAAGTCCCCGTCTCTGGTGCCCACTCACACCCTTACCCTCTCTCTGGCTCCCGTACCCAGCTCCAGCACCCCCACCAAGACCTAAAACCCAAGCCCTCTCAGGAGGTCACATCAGTGTACAAGTAGGCTGATGTCTCCCTTTCCAGGATCAAAGAACCAGAGGTATGGAGCAAAGGAGGAGGAGGAGGCTGGGAGAGAGAGGAGACGGTCTGTAAGTCAGGCTCCCCATCGCAGGTAGGATCTGCCGGCCCACAGCCCTAGCTAGCTGCTATTGCGGAGCACCCATACAAGAACTGGGACACTTTGTCCTCTAATGATTATTTCGCAAAAAAAGGTAGTGCGAAGCCCCATTTTTCTATAAATACCTCTGCCTCTCTATCTTTCTCACTCACTCTCCTCCTACCCTCTCTCGCTCTGGCTCTTTCAGATGGGGCCCTCTCTAAGGGCTGAGGACTGACCCAGAAACAGTGAGGAGAACCAGCCAGGGACACTTGTCACTGATTAGAGTGTGTCAACCTCAGTATTGAGGCACTGTAGTCTATAGGCAGTAGGCACACAGTTCCCTCCTCAATGGCTCCTCAAGGTTAGGCTCATTGAGAGAACAGGTTAAAGGTAACACATTCCAGGTAGCATACCATCCTTACATTCCAGGTAGCTTACCATCCTTACATTCCAGGTAGCATACCATCCTTACATTCCAGGTAGCATACCATCCTTACATTCCAGGTAGCATACCATCCTTACATTCCAGGTAGCATACCATCCTTACAGTAGCATACCATCCTTACATTCCAGGTAGCATACCACCTTACATTCCAGGTAGCATACCATCCTTACATTCCAGGTAGAATACCATCCTTACATTCCAGGTAGCATACCATCTTTACAGTATAATACCATCCTTACATTCCAGGTAGCATACCATCCTTACATTCCAGGTAGTATACCATCTTTACAGTATAATACCATCTTTACATTCCAGGTAGCATACCATCTTTACAGTATAATACCATCTTTACATTCCAGGTAGCATACCATCCTTACATTCCTGAGGCGAGGAGAAAGAGCAAGGCTGGTGAATGTCTGTTATACCTGATGGTAACATCAAGAACCTTGGCTGATGATCAGCACAAGAGCAATCCTGGTTCCCTGTTAGATACTGACGTCAAGCTTGCACCTCCTCCAAACTGGCTACCTGAAAGAAAGTGAGCGACATCTGTTCAATATCAAATCAACCTTTACACTATTCTTGTAGATCTGAAATGATAGCAATATGGTGATAGCTCCACCTTGCACTGTAATAGGCTACGTGGACCAGCCATCACATTGCTTACACATATAACCTTTCAGATCTACACAAAGTACCTAAGAGTAGGGGTGAGGTGTCAGTTTGGAATTGGGCAGTATCCCTCAGTGTGAGCCCTGAGGAAACCATTTCCTATTGGTAACAGTGTTTACCCCTCCGAGGCTGACTTGACCACCATGGATTCGTGATCAGTGTGTTTACAGTGGGAGATGCAGGCAGCTCTTTTCTAACAGTGATCATGGCTCATGTGAAACTCCGCCAAATAAATCTCTAGAGATGATCATGTTCAATAACCTACAGTATGAGGAAACTAATCAGGGAAACAAAGTGATTGTGATGTTTGAGTAGGTGTGCCTTTGTTTGGACAATGTCCAAGTAGGGTTTAGTTATGAATGGCTGGAGCACCATGCCAGTATGTAGAATACAACAGGGCAGAATCAATGCTTTGTTTAGTAGAGATGGGAACATCCTCATTAGGTGTCTAATAAATTACTTTATTTACTGTGCTAGCCACAGACATGATAACGAATCCACCATGGGACACACAATTATGCTCATATTTCCTAATTCAACAGACAAAAATAGTTTGTACAAAATACTTAAGGTATCAGAATTGCAGAAAATGATACATCAATACACCATTGGCATTACATCATCTGCCCTGTTCACCTTACAGTAGAAGACTATGGGGGATTTGGGACACTTGCGAAGGAAAAAGCCAAAGACATAATGATTATTAGTTTTGTTTTATTCATGTCAAGTAGCCTGATCCCATTGCATCTATGATACTTCAGAGGAATCTATCAGAGTAAGGACAGCTGTGCAAAAAAAACAGGGGGGGGGGGGGGGGGGGGGGGTGAAAAGGTAGTCTTCATTCTGACAGTCCTGAGGAGAATGAGAGAGAAAGCAGGCATGAGAGTAAAAAAAAAAAAGTGAAAGAAAATAAAAAAAGTAGTAACGTGAGAAGAGTGAGAGTAAGAGGAGACCGAAGGGAACAACCACCACGGGCAAGGTGAGCAGCAAGGCTGCTTTGTCCTGAATCTGCCAGGCTGATGAATCCACACCTCCATCTGGGGCCCACTGAGAGCTGCTTGGTTGCCTATGGCAACTGTAAACACCAGACTTAATCAATCTATCAATAACTGAATCATCCGATCACTACTAAAATCAGATTTTCAGTCAGGTATACTGTACACAGGAATCATTCAAACATTAATCCATTCCTTCTTACAAGCACATTTTACACATCCCCAAGACTGAAATAAATTCATTTTAGTCTTCTGCAGAAACTCAATTCTCAAAGATGAAGTACAGAGTTGTACTGAAAGTAGCATTTATTCATTCCACCCAAACTGAGCCAGTCAGGTAATAGATCCCAGCATTTGGCAGTAGTATGAGGTGTCAGTCTGTCGGTCCGTCTCCTAGTTGGCCTAGTTGTCCTGCTGTAAGGGTGGTATGTAATTGACCTCCTCAGAATAGCACTGGGCCTGTATTGAGACACACCTCAGCAGTACAGTCCAACAGTATCAGATCACGGTCATATTCACTAGGCAACAAAGAGTAGACATTGTCTAATAAGAAATGCTCATTTTGTTTTTCCGTTGCCAAACGTTTTAATATGGTGTGCCCTAATGAATACAACCCACATCAGACTCCCACAAACAATCACTAAAGCATTTCTATGGTCTATGGTCAAGCATAACATAATATTTTATCATTCATCTGTCAAAGGTAAACAACTCGAGTCTTTAGGTAGTATAATTGTTAAGGAAGGGGGGGGGGGGGGCATTTTCTAAAGTTGATATCTCCTAGTGTAACATCTAAGTGTAACAGAAACAGTGACAATTCTAGGGATTTTGAGACAATCAAGGCAAATGTAAGTACTTGAGCTCCTGTGACCTAGCTATAAGCCTACTGTTGTACCGTGTGATTGGTTGCTCAGTGTTGACAAGCAATGACATTACATTTAAGAAAATGTACCAAAATGAAGGCAGCTCCACTCCTGTCCAAGTAAAACTAACACTTCAGTCCTCCTTACTTCAGTGACTTAAGACAATACCCTTCCTATAAATGATTGCAATCCTTACCCAATAGAAATCTACTGTAATACTGTCCAATAAAATGTCTAACTTTATACAAACAGAATCTTTCATGCACACTGTCCTTGGTCTTCACAAAAACTTAAGTGCTTCGTCCTCATTCAAAAGCAGACAGAAAATACATTATACAACGTAACTCCTCAAACATAGACCAACGTTCTCATTCAAATTCCTGAGTTCTCATTAGAAACTCTTCATAAGACATTCTGTCCTCATAAGACACACCATCCTCATAACTCACCCAAAGTCCTGAGTTTTCATAAGACACTTCATAACACACTGTCCTCATAACACACAAAGTCCTCATATGATGACTGTCTGGATCTCCACCTCCTCCGATGACGTAATAACAAACTCTTCCTCCTGGTGCTCCATCACCTCGACCATATCCTCGCCCCCCGTTGTCGTTACCATGGTGACCGTGCCATCGGGCGTCTCCAGGGCGCCGCCTCCCGCCAGAAGGGTTCCGTCGCTGATGGCTGAGGCCAGCGTCATGGCGACCTGCGCGGTCAGGTTCTCGGGCGTCGCTATGGTGATGGTGTCGCCGCAGTCGGAAATGGATGTGCCCTCGTCCATGGAGACGTTGCGCACAATGATTTGGTGGCCGCCGACGCCGCCACGCGATTGGTTGACGATCTGCTGCACCACCTTCATGATGTGGTTGCCCATCTGAAAGGTGGGTAAGAGAGCGGGGGATGAGTATTGAGATGCCTTCTTAATGTCTACCTAATAGTTGATTTATCTATGTGGACATTTATGTCTCCATCCACAGTTTTTATGCAAGTCATACTATATAAAAAAATGTATCATGACAGCTGTGATGGAAACAGGAAGTTTCGGTACAATTTTATAAATGCTGCCAGAATTTTTTTCATTCAACATGGCTGCATCTTTTTGTGTTATGATGAGCTTCACAGGGTGGTGAAAGTGCATGGTGATGAGCTTGATGCTCCTTTTCAATAAATATCAAGGGTCTTATTCTGGAGACATGATGATCGATGCTTGACTGCCAATTGACAAATACAAATATTATCCATAATAATCTCATCATGTAGACTAGCCTACCCGCAATGTATCTGCAAGCTGTTGGCTAGAGCGCACGTGCCAAGACCAGAGTAGGCACATGCTATTTAACAGTTTTCGGTAGAGTTGAAAATGCGATGGAAACACATTGAACTTTCGATTTTTATTCAGTATATGAAAACGTAAGCGAAAAAGTACATTTTGTGTGCACTACGTCAACACACACTGATGTCAGTTTGGTGGAAACACCAATGGTGGGAAAATGTGCAAATTTTCTTTAAGCAGATTTTAGAATATTTGCATAAAAACCTGTCGCCAATTGGATGGAAATCTAGCTTTGGTCGCATGTTAAATATATGGCTATGAATGAGCAAACATTGAAAAGGTGGGACTGTTGTATGTTTGGAGGTAGGCCAGCGCTAGTCTAAGCCATCAAGACATAAAACCACTAGAACACCATTTCTTGGCTCCAGGAGAAACAGGAGAGCAGAGCACTGACCTGATTCTGGTTGTCTTGGATGAGAGTCAACTCCTCACCCTGCCCCTCCTCCTCCTCTCCTTGGGCCTGGGGAGAAGAGAGCAAGAGAGGAGAGAGACAGGACATGTGAACTACAGAACCTTCCATACATACTGACAGCATCATTTGTGAGAGAAAAACACAGATCAATATGCTATTAACAATTATGTTTACAGCAGCACCTTGTCTGTGTTTGTGCCTAAAGCTATGCCAGGTCAAGTTGAAACATTCAGTGAATTCAGCAAAAAGCCTGGATATATTACATTCACATTTTCGGCAGTGTGAAATAGGTAATACATCCATTAGGAGAATAACCCCCCCCCCCCCCCCGCCCATCTATAATGGTCTCACCCTAATGATGTACTCCTGGGTGTCAGCCACCACAGAGGAGAACTCCACCAGCACGGCGTGGGGGTCGTCTGACATGATGGCTGCTGTGGCCAGGCTGTCTGCAGACGCCTGCTCCTCTGAGACCACCACGCCTTCCTCCCCAGACCCCTCCTTCTGGCCCGCATAACAGCCCCCTAGGATACACAAAGAACAAATCAATGTAATCCTGTGTAGTGCTATTTGACTGTTTGCTTGTGTCCATTGTTGAATTGATAACATGTATAAGCTAATATAGAAAATCTATTACTTCATCAATTAAAATCAGGGCCAGTGTCAGCCTATTCAAAGTAGTACAAGTCGGGAGTACAACAGTAATATCACTGATAGGATCCGATGTATCTGAAATTGATCTTATGAATCATCTTAATGCTATACATGACCCAGGAGACAGGTGTTAATCATCCTGACCTTTGGCACGTAAGTGGCGGTTGAGCGTGCCATGCTCGGCGAAGCCCCGCCCACACTTGTGACACTTGAAGGGCTTCTCTCCGGTGTGATGGCGGATGTGGCGCACCAGAGAGCCCTTCTCCCTGAAGCCCCGCGAGCAGAACTGGCACACATACGGCTTCTCCTGGGCGTGCGTCCGCTGGTGCACCTGCAAGGCATTCTGGGACAAAAGGGGAGGGGAAAAGTTTAGGAACCAAGGTTTACATGGTAGTTAATGAATTCATCATCATCTATCTGTTAGTCAACCAATTCACATCTGACATGCGAGAAAAATTACTGAAATAACCGCTCAATCGAAGAAGCTCCGAAACTTGACTTAACATTAGCAGACTCCTGCCATTTAAGAAACGAAATAAAACTTACGAAAACCAGGAATTCAACAACTTTCAGAGAGAATATTTTGTCTGCTCGTTGCTTCCTTGGTTCAAATAAAAGTGGAGTATGGACAAACCTTGGTCTTGTATCCCTTGTCACAGCTGTTGCAGTTGTACGGCCGTTCCTCTGAGTGGGCCCTCATGTGTTCACGGACGTGTCCGATGGTCTTGTAGAGCTTGCCGCACTCGCCACACTTGTACCTCCTCTCACTCAGGTGGACCTCCATGTGCTTCTTCAACAGGTAGCCTGTCAGGAACTCCTTCAGACACATCACACACTTGAAGGGCTTGTAGCCTGCAGAAATGAGAACATGCATAATGAGCTGCTGTAGGTCGTGTTCATTAGTGAACGCAACAGGTAGTCCCTCCCCGTCAGACCGGTTTCCTTGGAGACTAATGAACACGACCCAGGTATAGAGGCACTGGGGAGATTTGAGAAAACAATGTAAGACACAGGGAATATGTGATATAAATGCATCTGATTTTGAAACCTTGGCTGAATCCTCTTATCACCACAATTCATCATTTGATATCAATGGATCACCTATGGTGTGTGTGTTGACTAATGGGTTATGCTGAGTCTAGCATTAAAGGAAATCATTAAAAAGACATGGAGACAGTGGTCTTACCGAGGTGACCTTTGACATGGAAGCGGAGGTAGTTGAGCGCCTTAAAGGAGCGACTACAGTGAGGACACTTGTGCATTTTAGACGGCGGCAGATCCTCCTGCTTGTCAGACATGTCCTACAGGGCAGGGAAAGGGACATACATCATGTTTATCAACCACATGCTGTAGCTGACTATACATCATGTTTATCAACCACATGCTGTAGCTGACTATACATCATGTTTATCAACCACATGCTGTAGCTGACTATACATCATGTTTATCAACCACATGCTGTAGCTGACTATACATCATGTTTATCAACCACATGCTGTAGCTGACTATACATCATGTTTATCAACCACATGCTGTAGCTGACTATACATCATGTTTATCAACCACATCTGTAGCTGACTATACATCATGTTTATCAACCACATGCTGTAGCTGACTATACATCATGTTTATCAACCACATGCTGTAGCTGACTATACATCATGTTTATCAACCACATGCTGTAGCTGACTATACATCATGTTTATCAACCACATGCTGTAGCTGACTATACATCATGTTTATCAACCACATGCTGTAGCTGACTATACATCATGTTTATCAACCACATGCTGTAGCTGAGAGTATTAGAAGACATGCACTATTAGAGAAGGAAGAAACAGAGAAAGACATTTTAGTGTCTCTGAAAATTGAAAATAAAATCATCTGTGTGGTGACGGATTTCTAACTAAAAGCTTTTTACATTTCTTTAGTACTTATTTATCCAGCATGGTAGTGGAAAATATACAAGGATAAAACACATTTAGATAGTAAAATACACAGTTGGTAAAATGTTAAATCAATTCCCCCATTGACTAACTCACCACCATCTCCTCAGCCTCCATCTCCATCTCCACACACTCCTCCATCACCTGGATCTCTGTCACCCTGCCCACCACGTCCCTGACCTGCAGGACCTCTTTAGGCATCCTGTCCAGTGCCTGCTCCTCAACTGACTCCACCTCCTCAGTCTCAGTGACCGCCTCCAGGGCGATGCCAGAGTTTATGATGGCCTGGCAGATGAGGTTGTCCCCCTCGGCCACCAGGGCCTCTGCCTGAGACTGCTCCAATAGAAGCTGGGGACAGGCAACCAGACAAGAACAGAGGGTCAAACATGGCTCTAGGAAAAATGTGTGACATCCAAAGCGGTTGTAATAAACGTCAACAGGGATAAAGAGGTTGTAATAAACGTCAACAGGGATTTGGGATACAAAGGAAATGCATGCGTTTCTCTATTTCCTTTCATCTGCACTAACGTGATAGAAATGGACAGGCATTTTGTAGGCATTCACAAAATGGCCTTCACCTATCCTGTGTTTTCAGATCAGTACAAATTAAAAGGTGAGAGAGGAGACGAGGAAGACAGTTTACAGTACTGAACTGCATCCAGATCTCCACACACCTGCTGTTCCTGCCCTTCTCCCTCCACCTCCATGTGGAAGTGGACCTCGTGGATGACTTCCTGTCCTCCACTGTCAGCCTCCACCACGCTGACCACCGCCACCTGCGCTTCCTCTTCCTCCTGCTGGTCCACTTCTTGCTGAGCAGCCAATGAGGCGGCCTCTGCCTCCACTCCTGAAATAAAAACATGACACCATCAATACCTTACCTACCGATCGATCCACAAAAGTATGTGGACACCCCTTCAAATTAGTGGATACGGGTATTTCAGCCACACCCGTTGTTGACAGGTGTATAAAATCGAGCACACAGCCAAGCAATCTCCATAGACAAACATTGGCAGTAGAATAGCCTCACTGAAGAGCTCAGTGACTTTCAACGTGGCAACGTCATAGGATGCCACCTTTCCAACAAGTCAGTTTGTCAAATGTCTGCCCTGCTAGAGCTGCCCCGGTCAACTGTAAGTGCTGTTATTGTGAAGTGGAAAAGTCTAGGAGCAACAACGGCCCAGACGCGAAGTGGTAGGCCACACAGAACGGGACTGTCGAGTGATTGCAACACTCACTACCGAGTTCCAAACTGCCTCTGGAAGCAATATCAGCACAAGAACTGTTAGTCGAGAGCTTCATGAAATGGGTTTCCATGGTCGAGCAGCCGCACACAAGCCTAAGATCACCATGCGCAATGCCAAGCCTCGGCTGGAGTGGTGTAAAGCTTGCAACCATTGGATTCTGGAGCAGTGGAAACGCGTTCTCTGGAGTGATAAATCGCACTTCACCATCTGGCAGTCCGATGGAAGAATCTGGGTTTGGCGGATTGTCAGGAGAACACCACCTGCCCGAATGCATAGTGACAACTGTAAAGTTTGGTGGAGGAGGAATAATGGTCTGGGACTGTTTTTCATGGTTTGGGCTTGGCCCCTTCGTTCCAGTGAAGGGAAATCTTAACACTACAGCATACAACGACATTCTAGACGATTCTGTGCTTCCAACTTTGTGGCAACAGTTTGGGGAAGGCCCGTTCCTATTTCAGCATCACAATACCCCCGTGCACAAAGCGAGGTCTATACAGAAATGGTTTTTCAAGATCAATGTGGAACAACTTGACAGAACCCTGACCTCAACCCCATCGAACACCTTTGGGATGAATTGGAACGCTGACTGCGAGCCAGGCCTAATCGCTCGTAGCTGAATGGAAGCAAGTCCCCGCAGCAATGTTCCAACATCTAGTGGAAAGCCTTCCCAGAAGATTGGAGGCTGTTATAGTAGCAAATGGGGGGGGGACCAACTCCATATTAATACCCATGATTTTGGAATGAGACAAGCAGGTGTCCACATACTTTTGGTCATTTAGTGTATGTATCTACCATCCATCCATCCATCCATCCATCCATCCATGCATGATCCTTCCCTCAATCCCTCAATCTTTTGACAGACTGCTACCTTTCTGCTGTCCGTCCTTGCTGACAAGGATCTCCTTGTACTGGTTGAAGCGGATCTTCTCAGTGCAGGGGGTGATGGACTTGAGATGTCTGGTCAGAGCCCCTGACTCCCTGAAGGAGAGCCCACACAGGTTACAGCGGTACGGCCGCTCGTCTGCGGGAAGAGGGGGAGAGAGACTGGTGATAGAGATAGGAAATGAAGCTGCGTATGCCACAAGCGCAAACATCTCATTCTGAGCCCGCCCCCTTCCAGTCCACTGTACCTGTGTGACGGCGGTTGTGACGAATCAGGGAGCCTTTAGTGCGGAAGGCACTCCCACAGAGCTCGCAGGGGAAATTCTTATTCTCACTGTGGGTGATCATATGGGTTCTCAGGATATTTGTCTAGAAAAAAAGTAGACATACACTCCCAGTCAAAAGTTTGGACACACCTACTTATTCAAGGGTTTTTCTTTATTTTTACATTGTATAATAATAGTGAAGACATCCAAACTATGAAATAACACATATGGAATCATGTAGTAACCAAAAAAGTGTTAAACAAATCAAAATATGTTATATTTGAGATTCTTCAAATAGCCACCCTTTATAAAGTTCATTTGTGGAATTTCTTTCCTTCTTAATGCGTTTGAGCCAATCAGTTGTGTTGTGACAAGGTAGGGGGGGTATACAGAAGATAGCCCTATTTGGTAAAAGACCAAGTCCATATTATGGCAAGAACAGCTCAAATAAGCAAAGAGAAACGACAGTCCATCATTACTTTAAGACATGCAGTCGCAAAAACCATCAAGCGCTATGATGAAACTGGCTCTCATGAGGACCGCCACAGGAATGGAAGACCCAGAGTTACCTCTGCTGCAGAGGATAAATTCATTAGAGTTACCAGCCTCAGAAATTGCAGCCCAAATAAATGCTTCACAGAGTTCAAGTCACAGACACATCTCAACATCAACTGTTCAGAGGAGACTGCATGAATCAGGCCTTCATTGTCGAATTGCTGCAAAGAAACCACTAATAAAGGACACTAATAATAAGAAGAGACCAGCTTGGGCCAAGAAACACGAGCAATGGACATTAGACCGGTGGAAATGTGTCCTTTGGTCTGGAGTCCAAATTTGAGATTTTTGGTTCCAACCGCCATTTCTTTGTGAGATGCGGTGTGGGTGAACGGATTATCTCCACATGTGTAGTTCCCACCGTAAAGCATGGAGGAGGTGGTTTTATGGTGTGGGGGTGCTTTGCTGGTGACACCGTCTGTGATTTATTTAGAATTCAAGGCACACTTAACCAACATGGCTACCACATCATTTTGCAGCGATACGCCATCCCATCTGGTTTGGGCTTAGTGGGACTATCATTTGTTTTTCAACAGGAAAATGACACAACACACCTCCAGGCTGTGTAAGGGCTATTTTACCAAGAAGGAGAGTGATGGAGTGCTGCATCAGATGACCTGGTGAAGGAAAAGCAGCCAACAAGTGCTCAGCATATGTGACAACTTCAAGACTGTTGGAAAAGCATTCCAGGTAAAGCTGGTTGAGAGAATGCCAAGTGTGTGCAAAGCTGTCATCAAGGCAATGGGTGGCTATTTGAAGAATCTAAAATATACTTGATTTGTTTAACACTTTTTTGGTTACTACATGATTCCATGTGTTATTTCATAGTTTTGATGTCTTCACTATTATTCTACAATGTAGAAAATTGTAAAAGTAAAGAAAAACCCTTGAATGAGTAGGTGTGTCCAAACGTTTGACTGGTACTGTAGGTTTGTTTGATAGAGCATAAACAAGGGAAGAACAAAACAGCTGATAGCTGTGCTTTCCAAACTTTATTCCAGACTAGACAAGGTAGTGACAATCTGTATGGGTTCATTCTCAGATCTATATCAACATGAAGCACAGGTACAGTACCACTCACCGTCTTGAATGTCTTCTCACACGTTTGGCAAATGTAGCGTCCATCTTTGTTGACCCTGTAGACTGATTTGTCTGCACCGTCAGGGCTGTGGTCCTCAGTCCCCTCTGTGTGACCAGTAGCCTTCCCTGTTCCACCTCTCTTCCTGTGACTTCGAGAGGAGTGACCTTCAACTACTACATCACCTGAGAGAATATAAGGGCGGTTAATTCCGTCCCCTCCAGGATTCTTTTTTGACAAACCCATTTCAACAGGGCATGAAAGTAAAAACAGGAGGAAATTGGGTTTCTGAGGGAATATAAACTTCACCATGAGATGAACCAATAATGTCTTATCAGTTATGGCCAGATGATACTGGAGGGTGCCAGAGTGCAAACAGGTCAATGAACATTGACTTACCGTTGTTGTTGGACTTGTCTGGTTCATCTGAAGACAGTCCACTTCCATCCATTCTTGCCAAGGTAGCAGAGGTTCCATCTGGGGCAGAAACCTGACCAAACACAAACGTTTTGACATATCACCCCTTGCGTTTATGAATTCTACAAACTACACTGAGTAGGTACCGAGTGTGCAATTGCCCGGGCTAGCCTACCTCTTGGTTGTCATCCCGGGGTTTATTGACGGGCACCTGTGGTTCCTGTGCCCGCGTGCAGTTCTGGTGCAGCTTGTGCTGGATGAATGCCTCCAGCGTACAAAACTCGGACTGACAGCGTCCGCACTTGTGGACATCTTCATCTACAAGTGAAATAAATGCGTACAATCAAGAACACACTTGGTTAAAGTTACATTTTTATGACTGACTGCCTAGCTAATTAATTGACACATGCAAGTGATTAGACAGTGACATCACGATAAAACATATTTGGTGACATAGCTAAATTAGCTAGCTAGCTACTGTAGCAAGTGGAGCCGCCGGCTAACTTAGCTAACGTTAGCACAGCTAGCAAGCCTAGCTCGTTAGCAAGGTTAAATCAGATAAGTGCAAAGTTACACTACAATCCGAGGATGCTAGCTAACTAAATCTGACCAGCGCGAACTACATTAGTTAGCTATCTAGCTGGCTGGCTAGCTCTGACCCGGTACAGTGCAAGCTACAGCTAAAGTGCACCGACCTTATTTTGTCACCTACCTAGCAAGCTAACTAGCAGCTAAATAAGTTAAATCAATAAGAGTGGGCCTACATATGCCAATAAAAATATATTACTGTTTTTGCACGTAAACTGTCTTTACCTTCATCTCCGAGAGTTGTTTGAATTGTGACGATGTTGTTGCCGTGATCCGTTTGCTCGCTCACTGTTTCTGCCGTATTATTATTTTCTACATTCATGTCGTTTGAGTTCTCCGTCTCTGTCGCAACGCTACTAGAGGGAAAACATGGCGGATTTACGACCTCGTAGTCATAACAACAAAAGGGCAAGACAAGGGAAGGATTTATTTTCTTTTCAGATGTAGGTAATAATTGCCTTTTTGCCACCTATTACATGGCCAACTCTGATGTCTGAAATGATCATTTATATAAATGTAACCAAGACTGTGGCGAATTTTAATTTGCAAAATATTCCAGCATTGGAAATATTTCACATGACATGTTTGCTCTGTAATGTGTGAGTTTCTCCATACAATCTATGTCCCTGTCATTCTCTATATTAGCCACAGGGGGGCAAACGTGTCCACAGCATGACATTGATGTGACCCCTCATGATTTCCGTATTATTTTCATATGATTTTCGAATGGATACCCACCAACAGTGCCACCCAGCATATTTTTAAAAAAGCATTGCGAAAAGATGGTGCTCTGTTCTGTGCAGCAGAATATACTAGAGTAGAGAGAAGCTGCACTCATCCTCACATAAATAAATAATCCAGGCTAGAAAGTTGACTTTTATCTGATCTGTCCACATAATCTTTTGAATAGCTGTTGTGCCTGTGTTTCAGGCATTTCACATAGCGGAATTAGTCTCAAAAACTGCCTTGGGTCGGCTTTGGGGTGAGTTCGTTTGACAGTTCGCTGCTCGCGCTCACAGCAAATGCGCGTTTCGATGGCTTGTAGTGTGTGTGAAGAGATGCCACTAGTGTAACGCGGAAGTTCGTTAGTTTACAGTTGTTGTGCATTTTGTGTACAGTAGACCTTCCACCAAATTCTGTGTTCAAGTTCAAGTTCTTTTTTTTTCTGGGCATTGTAAGTGTTGAAACATATTAGGACAACAAACTACAAACACGCTCCTCACCCGGTAAGTGTCAACAGTAGCCTACCGTTATCTACGTTTAATCTACATCGTCATTGAGTTGATGCATTGACACCTGTGAAGTTGGATAGTCTACTGTTCATGCAATTCATTCATATTGATAATATAAACGGCAGCGCTGTAGTGGTGGCTATACGCAGGTATACGCCGTATACCCACTTTTTCCCAGTGGGAATTGCAAATAGGCTACCCACTTTTAATACCCAAAGATTCGTATCAAAGTAGCCTAGTGTAGTGGAGGTATACACCGTATCAATTATGTAGGCTAGTACAATAGAGAAATCATGCACAAAGTATACTACACAATCGCAAAGGACGTGAAATATATTCACATGGGCGCAGCACACATAGCCTAGTTTCAACGGAATACAATCTTTCAGGCAGGGGTGAAAGTCCAATTAATTTCTTCCCGGTACGGGACCTCCTATTTCCACCCGCAACATATTTCCAGCATACAAACAAACAGTGGTGAATGGAAAGATACATATGTTACACAAAACACCAATAATAACATTTGGCAATTGTCATTAGGCAAGAATGTATGCGTCCAATGCTGTCCGGGTTGTCGGCCACTTATCTCTGCCTTGGCACTTCTGCCTTGGCAAAATGTCAGTGTGCTCGTCGAACAGCAACGTATTTTGGAGCTTAGGCTGCTCCCATTTTCATGCCTCTGACATGCGGTAATGATAAAAAGTTGTGTAATAGCCTACAGTTTCCTTGACATTTTGTTTTATTTATTGTGATAGGCTCATGTTTTACCGGAACCGGAACGGCATACCCCCACAATTTATTTTGCCTGGACACCGTACCGGACCGCCTTACTTTCACCTTGGCTTTCAGGCAGCAAGAGCGCGCAGCGTAAAGTATAAATAGTAAAGTAAAGTACAGATACCCTCCCAAAAAACAACGTCATATTTTTACTTAAGTACTTTACAGCACTGGTTTGAATTTATGATATCTACCAGTAAATGCTAACTAAGGCAACAATGGGTATACAAACCAGGTATTGAAAAAGTTTGGTCCGAAGTCTGGTTGAATCAATACAATGCGCAATTAAGTCATCATGCGCTGTTTGAATGAACATCTCTAAAGGCTTTCCCAAAACCCTTCCCAATTAAAGGTTGACCTCAAATTAGGCCTACCTACCTGGCAGAATTATATAATGAGGATTTGTATCAAGTGAGATGGCATTTGTTTAGCAAACTCAGCCATCGCATGTAAACTGCAGGCCTACATTCTAGAGTACAGAAACACTGCTAGCCAAATGGTATTTTGCTCAGTGCACAATTGAATTAAAGGACAACTACACCCTTCCTCAAAAATGTTGTTGTGGACGTAGAACATCCAATTTGAGTATTTTCTCAATATAAAAAAGTGTGATTTTAAGAGTGAAAACCTGAATAAACTATAGGAAAACTTTTGCTTTGAACTTGAATGATTTATTGTTTGTGTATTGTTATGTTTTTCAGTGTATTTGACTGCTGTGTGGGTATTATTAAAAACTTGAACTTGAAAATGTAACTTGAAGAACTTGAAATATTATTTTCTATTCCTCTCTGTCAGCTGAAGCACCATGGCAACAAAAAGGCAGGCCCTCAGAGCTGTTGTACTTTGTCTGGTGCTTGTTGCTGCTGTCAAACTTCTGCTTTGGGATTCCAGGTGAGACATCCTACCATAGGCACAATCCTCATTCATTGAGGTGTTTGTAGACTCATATGATATAATATTGTGTTTTTCATAGCCTCTTGGGACAGCCGTTCGTTCTGGGTGCCAAGTATATTTTATTAAGACTTTCATTAGTCTTCAGAAGAAAAAAAAAGTTTATGTTTAAATCTGTCTTGTTCCAGAACTGAAAGGAATCAGAAGTTGGCCAACATGGATGCTGGCTCATTTTGGCAAAAGGGACCAAAGGTGAAGGAGGCTGTTACTGTGCACAAGTCAGAGGTTATAAACTCTTTTTTGAACCGGGCCCAGAAACCAGAGGTCCAGACCCTCCAGTAGAAAAGGATTCCCCACCACAGAATCCAGAGGGGGCGGACATAGGGAAAATAGTAGCACCTCTGGAAACCAGCAAAGGCCCTGCAAGAATAGTACACCTGGATCTGAAAGGTGCTGCACCCAAAGTCAAATACATGAAGCAGGTGAGAAAAGTTGTTCTCTCCTTGAGGTGGATCCCCAAAAAGTATTATTTGCAGGGCCTTTATGGTAAGTCACTCTGGATAAGAGCGTCTGCTAAATGACTAAAATGTAAAATGTAAATGTATTATTTATAAGGTGTAGTCCTTTTCTGCAGTCAAATGACGTAGTGGCCTGATGGGTGGAATGTTGTTAATATAATATAATTAATTTAACTCTATATCTGACATGGTACAGGTGTCTACTTTTTTAAAGCCCATAACCATGTGTGTGAGGTGTATACTTTTGTTTCAAAGTAGATTTGTTTAAGGTTACCAATGAACACCCTGTGTGACCCTGATTTAGCCCACTGCAGTAAAAGATTTTAAGATTCATATTTTAATGGAGATACTGGCATATTGGTAGTCTTATTTATGTAGTATAGCTATATACAGTACCAGTCAAAAGTTTGGACACACCTACTCCTTCCAGGGGTTTTCTTTATTTTTACTATTTTCTACATTGTGGAATAATAGTGAAGACATCAGAACTATGAAATAACACATATGGAGTCATGTAGTAACCAAAAAAGTGTTAAACAAATCAAAATATATTTTATATTTGAGATTCTTCAAATAGCCACCCTTTGCCTTGATGACAGCTTTGCACACTTTTGGCATTCTCTCAACCAGCCCAAATAAATGCTTCACAGAGTTCAAGTAACATACACATCTCAACATCAACTGTTCAGAGGGGACTGTGTGAATCAGGCCTTCATGGTCGAATTGCTGCAAAGAAACCACTACTAAAGGACACCAATAAGAAGAAGAGACCAGCTTGGGCCAAGAAACACGAGCATTAGACCGGTGGAAATGTGTCCTTTGGTCTGGAGTCCAAATTTGAGATTTTGGGTTCCAACCTCCGTGTCTTTGTGAGACGCGGTGTGGTGAACGGATGATCTCCGCGTGTGTAGTCCCACCGTAAAGCATGGAGGAGGAGGTGTTATGGTGTGGGGATGCTTTGCTGGTGACACGGTCTGTGATTTATTTAGAATTCAAGGCACACTTAACCAGCATGGCTACCACAGCCTTCTACAGCAATACGCCATCCCATCTGGTTTGAGCTTAGTGGGAATATCATTTGTTTTTCAACATCACAATGACCCAACACACCTCCAGGCTGTGTAAGGGCTATTTTACCAAGAATGTGAGTGATGGAGTGCTGCATCAGATTACCTGGCCTCCACAATCCCCCGACCTCAACCCAATTGAGATGGTTTGGGATGAGTCGGACTGCAGAGTGAAGGAAAAGCAGCCAAAAAGCATATGTGGGAACTCCTTCAAGACGGTTGGAAAAGCATTCCAGGTGAAGCTGGTTTGAGAGAATGCCAAGATTGTGCAAAACTGTCATCAAGGCAAAGGGTGGCTATTTGAAGATTCTCAAATATAAAATATACTTTGATTTGTTTAACACTTTTTTGTTTACTACATGATTCCATATGTGTTATTTCATAGTTAAGATGTCTTCACTATTATTCTACAATGTAGAAAATAGTAAAAATAAAGAAAAACCCTTGAATGAGTAGGTGTGTCCAAACTTTTGACTAGTAGTGTAATCGAATTGAACAAATGCAGTATACTGCTTCATTCACCAGAACCAAAATCATTGTGATGGTTTCCATTCCAGATCTTCCCTCTCTTCTCCTCTCTGGGTGCTGATGGTGTTCTGATAGAGTACGAGGACATGTTTCCCTATCATGGAAACCTGACGATTCTCAGGTCACCGTATGCCTACAGGTGAGCACCAAACGGTGATGTCTCAGTCAATTTATGATTGATAGGGAAAAACTAGGGCCTGGAGTTTTCCTCTTCAGATCGCATGGCAAAGGAAAAACTCCTGGTCCTGATGATAAAACTATGTCAGAACTAGGATGTACAATCCATAGAGACACATGTATTACTGTTCTATTTAGTGTTCTATTTAAATATGTGTCACAATGATTAGCAGTGTGCTGTCTATCTCTGTGTTCTCTGTTAAACAGTATGGAAGATATCGAGGAGATAAAGAGACTAGCCAAACTCAACAAGCTGGAGCTGATTCCTTTAGTGCAAGTGTTTGGACACCTCGAGGTAAGTCAGGGATACTGTCTATATCAGTGATATAGTGGTAAAAAAATGGGTGGTTACGCTGATCACCGTTCACGGTAAGTAAAGTAATGCTCCCTATACTTTCAATGCATTTTTCCCGCAAAAGGTGGGTAAACGCCCACGCAAAATAGAAAAGGGGCTTAAACAGCATTTACGTGTGTTTACCCTCCACTAAATACTAAATACTGCACAATTTAAACACTTGCCCCCAACCCCCCTACCCCAAAACATGTGTAAATATTGGACTATAAATTGTGCCTTCCTGTATTATAGTTATGCTAAAATGTTTATTCTATTCTACTGAGCCATTTACTTTATGTTCGTATTCTTATCTTGTATTATTTCTTATTGTTGTTGCATTGTCGAGAAGGAACCTGCAAGTAAGCATTTCGTTGGATGGTGTATACAGTGAGGGAAAAAAGTATTTGATCCCCTGCTGATTTTGTATGTTTGCCCACTGACAAAGAAATGATCAGTCTATAATTTTAATGGTAGGTTTATTTGAACAGTGAGAGACAGAATAACAACAAGAAAATCCAGAAAAACGCATGTCAAAAATGTTATAAATTGATTTGCATTTTAATGAGGGAAATAAGTATTTGACCCCTCTGCAAAACATGACTTAGTACTTGGTGGCAAAACTCTTGTTGGCAATCACAGAGGTCAGATGTTTCTTCCCACTTCTCTTTCTATTCTGGTTAGAGCCAGTTTGCGCAGTTCTGTGAAGGGAGTAGTACACAGCGTTGTACAAGATCTTCAGTTTCTTGGCAATTTCTCGCATGGAATAGCCTTCATTTCTCAGAACAAGAATAGACTGACGAGTTTCAGAAGAAAATTATTTGTTTCTGGCCATTTTGAGCCTGTAATCGAACCCACAATTGCTGATGCTCCAGATACTCAACTAGTCTCAAGAAGGCCAGTTTTATTGCTCCTTTAATCAGCACAACAGTTTTCAGCTGTGCTAACATAATTGCAAAAGGGTTTTCTAATTATCATTTAGCCTTTTAAAATGATAAACTTGGATTAGCAAACACAACGTGCCATTGGAACACAGGACTGATGGTTGTTGATAATGGGCCTCTGTACGCCTATGTAGATATTCCATTAAATATCAGCCGTTTCCAGCTACAATAGCCATTTACAACATTAACAATGTCTACACTGTTACATTTTTTTGTCCATTAAAATAACATCAAATTGATCAGAAATAATAATAATAACATGCTATTTAGCAGACGCTTTTATCCAAAGCGACTTACAGTCATGTGTGCATACATTTTTACGTATGGGTGGTCCTCTGTAGCTCAATTGGTAGAGCATGGCGCTTGTAACGCCAGTGTAGTGGGTTTGATCTCCGGGACCACCCATATGTAAAAATGTATGCACACATGACTGTAAGTCGCTTTGGATAAAAGCGTCTACTAAATAGCATATTATTATTATTATTATTATTATTTCTGATCAATTTGATGTTATTTTAATGGACAAAAAAATTGCTTTTCTTTCGAAAACAAGGACATTTCTAAGTGACCCCAAACTTTTGAACGGTAGTGTATATATACAGTGGGGGAAAAAAGTATTTAGTCAGCCACCAATTGTGCAAGTTCTCCCACTTAAAAAGATGAGAGAGGCCTGTAATTTTCATCATAGGTACACGTCAACTATGACAGACAAATTGAGGAAAAAAAATCCAGAAAATCACATTGTAGGATTTGTAATGAATTTATTTGCAAATTATGGTGGAAAATAAGTATTTGGTCACCTACAAACAAGCAAGATTTCTGGCTCTCACAGACCTGTAACTTCTTCTTTAAGAGGCTCCTCTGTCCTCCTCTCGTTACCTGTATTAATGGCACCTGTTTGAACTTGTTATCAGTATAAAAGACACCTGTCCACAACCTCAAACAGTCACACTCCAAACTCCACTATGGCCAAGACCAAAGAGCTGTCAAAGGACACCAGAAACTAAATTGTAGACCTGCACCAGGCTGGGAAGACTGAATCTGCAATAGGTAAGCAGCTTGGTTTGAAGAAATCAACTGTGGGAGCAATTATTAGGAAATGGAAGACATACAAGACCACTGATAATCTCCCTCGATATGGGTCTCCACGCAAGATCTTACCCCGTGGGGTCAAAATGATCACAAGAACGGTGAGCAAAAATCCCAGAACCACACGGGGGGACCTAGTGAATGACCTGCAGAGAGCTGGGACCAAAGTAACAAAGCCTACCATCAGTAACACACTACGCCGCCAGGGACTCAAATCCTGCAGTGCAGACGTGTCCCCCTGCTTAAGCCAGTACATGTCCAGGCCCGTCTGAAGTTTGCTAGAGTGCATTTGGATGATCCAGAAGAGGATTGGGAGAATGTCATATGGTCAGATGAAACCAAAATATATATCGTGTTTGGAGGACAAAGAATGCTGAGTTGCATCCAAAGGACACCATACCTACTGTGAAGCGTGGGGGTGGAAACATCATGCTTTGGGGCTGTTTTTCTGCAAAGGGACCAGGACGACTGATCCGTGTAAAGGAAAGAATGAATGGGGCCATGTATCGTGAGATTTTGAGTGAAAACCTCCTTCCATCAGCAAGGGCATTGAAGATGAAACGTGGCTGGGTCTTTCAGCATGACAATGATCCCAAACACCCCGCCCGGGCAACGAAGGAGTGGCTTCGTAAGAAGCATTTCAAGGTCCTGGAGTGGCCTAGCCAGTCTCCAGATCTCAACCCCATAGAAAATCTTTGGAGGGAGTTGAAAGTCCGTGTTGCCCAGTGACAGCCCCAAAACATCACTGCTCTAGAAGAGATCTGCATGGAGGAATGGGCCAAAATACCAGCAACAGTGTGTGAAAACCTTGTGAAGACTTACATAAAATGTTTGACCTGTGTCATTGCCAACAAAGGGTATATAACAAAGTATTGAGAAACTTTGTTATTGACCAAATACTTATTTTCCACCATAATTTGCAAATAAATTCATTAAAAATCCTACAATGTGATTTTCTGGATTTTTTTTCTCATTTTGTCTGTCATAGTTGACGTGTACCTACGATGAAAATTACAGGCCTCTCTCATATTTTTAAGTGGGAGAACTTGCACAATTGGTGGCTGACTAAATACATTTTTCCCCCACTGTATATATATATATTTTTTTATGTATATATTTTCCTTTATTATTTTCCCCTAACCCTACCACCCCTCACCTAATTGGCGTAAACTAATGGACAACAACACTTAGGCTTCCACTTCCAGCTTACAGTGAGGGAAAAAAGTATTTGATCCCATGCTGATTTTGTACGTTTGCCCACTGACAAAGACATGATCAGTCTATCATTTTAATGGTAGGTTTATTTGAACAGTGAGAGACAGAATAACAACAAGAAAATCCAGATAAACGCATGTCAAAAATATTATGAATTGATTTGCATTTTAATGAGGGAAGTATTTGACCCCTCTGCAAAACATGACTTAGTACTTGGTGGCAAAACTCTTGTTGGCAATCACAGAGGTCAGATGTTTCTTGTAGTTGGCCACCAGGTTTGCACACATCTCAGGAGGGATTTTGTCCCACTCCTCTTTGCAGATCTTCTCCAAGTCATTAAGGTTTCGAGGCTGATGTTTGTCAACATGACCTAAAATGAGAAGATAACTTGTGTTATATTGTAACCATACCAGAAAAGCAAGAATAACTATACATTCCTTGGAATGCTCGTTTTCAGTCATGATCACATTAAGTAGACCAGAGCCATGCTAGATATCTATCTAAATATATGGCTCTGAGAGAGACCATTCAATACTATTGTGTAATGAAATATAACCACTGTTGCCTGTGTCAAAACTATGTCAGAAATCTCCTCTTTCATCTGTCCTCCTCTTTCTTCCTCTGGATAGTTTGTGTTGAAGCATGAGAGGTATTTCCACCTGAGGGAGGTGAGGGCCTTCCCTAACAGTCTGAACCCCCACCATCCTGGCTCTGTGGCTCTGGTCAAGGACATGGTCTCCCAGGTCATGGACTGTCATCCTGACGCACGCTGGTTCCACATGGGGGCTGATGAGGTGTGTGTGTGTGTGTGTGTGTACGCCGTGTGTTTGTATGTGTATGAACTAGAACACTACTACTGTATGTAATCGTATCTGTCTGTAGGACTTTGCGTTCAACAGGATATTGAGATATGCAAATACAGTGCAAGTAGATAGTTACAAGGCCAATGAGATAGGCCTACATTATTCATACCCCCTGGTTTCTATAGTTCCATTCATAATACAGTGTGTGTGTGTGTGTGTGTGTGTGTCCATGTTCCTCAGGTGAGGGGTCTGGGAGAGAGCCAGGACTCTAAAAACTGGTTACATAGCAACAAGGGGGATGTTGGGAAAATGTTCCTGAACCATGCAGTGTCATTGGCCCGTTTCATCACAGAGAGGAGGTCAGGGGTCAGAGTGATTCTGTGGGATGACATGTTGAGGAAGATCAGCCCTGCCACTATCAAAGGTGTGATGATGAGATCACCTAGCACTCCTACTGTACTGTGTATTGATTAAATGAATGTATGTTTTTGTAATTATAACTGACTGACTTCAGGACTCACAAGTGCTTGTATGTTATATATATATTTTTACTTTATACCATGTTTATTACAATGAATTATGCCATGTGCATTACAATGGACATTGTTAAACCCCACTAAGTGTCTGACTAGTTGCTCTATAACTGATTGTTCATCTATTCATACCTCTAGAGTCAGGCCTGCAGGATCTTGCTTCCCCAACAATATGGAACTATTTGAAGAAAATGGATACAGATGGTATAGGTATGTTTATGTTTTCAGTTTTGAAAACTGCTAAGCCATCATTACTTTTTTGTAATCGTGTTTTTTTTCCTTCTAAAATTCCACCCCAGATACAAACATACACATATGAACAACAACTTACAGACGCACACAAACATTGACTACAGTTAATCTGCCTAGACCCGCATGCTCACACCCCCATTCCTAGTGCCTGCATTGGTTTTTGACACATGGCCTTAAATTGTACCAATTCGTTTTTCTCGGTCGCCCATGCTATTTAAATATTTAAATAATAAATCATTCGATTTTTCCATTGTGTTAATGATGGCGGATTGATTGATTTCAAGTTTTTAGTATACGTATTTTCAAGATGAGTGATGAGAAGTGAATCGTCCAGCCCATTGGGTATCTCACTACACCCCCATATGCCATATGTCTTGAAATATGCAGACAGACGGATTAAAAGTACATTTACATTGTAATACTTCTGACAGCCAACTTTCTAGCTCCGCCCACAACTTTTGGACTTTATAGCATTCCCAGAAAGCACGGATTATTGAGTCATTGTTCATTTTACACTTAAGACATGACTCTGCCGTTGTGCTGTAGAATTTGTGAATTTTGTCTCTTGTACAGTTTAATAAATTATATCCATTAGTTTAAACTGGACTAAGCATACTTTTTCATTAACTGTAATTTCGTTAGTTATGCTCCAACCTCCCCTCCATCATGTGCCAACATCAGTTCCTTTTAAGTCTTGGTTCCAATAGTTTATATTTGTTCTAAGAGATTGTCAGTTGGATAGGCTCTCTGCAAGGTTTTATATATCTTACCTTTCATATGAATATCCTTTTATGACTCAAATAAGATTCAAATCGAAATTTTGTGATATGAAACTTTTAAGTTGCATGTATTTGAAAATATCAACATTGGTCAGTCCCAAATTGCTTTTTAATTCTACCAAATACATGTATTTCCTATTACCAATTTATTTAAGGTTTCTATGCCTTTAGTTTTCCATGTGGACCAATTAATCGGTCAATTCTGAAAAGCTATCCAAGGATTGTTCCATAGGGTTGTATTTTATGGGAGTGATATTGGTTCTTGTAGAATACGTTTCATTTTCTTCCATATTGTTATAGTGTTCGTAACTATGAAGTTGTTCATGTTCTTAGCTTTATCCTTTGAAAATAGACACGTAAAAATATTCTGGGGATGAGCATGTGCATCTTCAATATGTACTCATTGTTCCTCTTTAGTATATTTAACTATATGTCGTAAGTAAAAGCCTTGGGTAGCGAGCTGATACAATTCCAAGTCTGGAAGGTTAAAACCACCCTCAGACATAGGAAGATATAAAACTTTTATTTTTATTTTATGAATTTGATTTGCCCATATAAAGAATGTTATGACCAAGTATACTTTTTTAAATAATGTCTTTGGTGGGGTAATTGGGATTACTGATGACACGTTAGAGTCTAGACCATTGTAAAAGTGTTTACACCTTTTGAATAAGAGAGGGAAAATATTGTGTTTACCAATACCCCATTTTAATGTTTTCTATTTTGAACAGGAACATTGATATCTAGATACCATGAGGCCGGTTTCAAGGGTGTATGGTTCGCCAGTGCATTCAAAGGGGGCACAGGTATTGACCAGCGATGGACCCCTCTTGACTATCACCTACAGAACCATCTGTCCTGGATAAAGGTCATGAACTCTATGACCAAATACCCCTCCATAACCCTCCATGGCATCCTGCTAACTGGATGGCAAAGGTAAGACATTGATTAGGGTTGCAACAATTCAGTAACTTTTCCAAAATTCCAAGGTTTTCCAGAAATCCTGGTTGGAGGATTCCGATTTCATGCTTATTCCCTTCTGATTCCAGCAATCTTCCAAAAGGGATTTCTGGAAAACCTGGCAATTTGGGGGAAATTACCAGAATTGTGCAACCCTGACACTAATCAACCACAATTGACTCTGATAACGTCTTGGGAATGTTCAAAGTGTGTGTACTAAACCAGAGCATGCAGAAGATATACTGTATAAGGCATAACTCATTCCATTGGCCCATTAAACTTGGTAACTAAACCAACTGTAGGATCCTGTCTTTTACTGTGTGTCTGTGTTATGAAACGGTGCACCTCAGTGTTTGAAATATTTTACCCTTCAGGTTTGAGCACCATACGGTGTTGTGTGAACTCCTCCCAGTTGGCATTCCCTCCCTGGCTATGTGTCTACAAAGCTTAAAGCATGGTAAGTGCCAGGGGAAATGTAAAATAGGGACCTTCTCGCAGTCGTAAGGACAAAGATTCAGCAGGAGGCAGGCAGGTAGAGGTGCAAATGAGTGTTTTTTATTTTTATTTACACAGCACAAGTTGATATATTTACAAACGTCAGACTTCTAAATGTCAGTATTCAAAAAGAAAAAACCTCCTAACAGGAAAAACCTGCCCTAAGCATAAAGGCACAGGTGGTAGAGACCTGCACGGTGTCACGATCGTCAACAGATGCGGACCAAGGCGCAGCGTGATAAGCGTACATTCTTTATTAGTACACACACGAACCAAAACAATAAACCAAACGATACATGAAGTCCTAGGTTATACACAAAACCTAAACGGAACAAGATCCCACAATAAACTGGTGAAAACAGGCTGCCTAAGTATGGTCCCCAATCAGAGACAACGAGCTACAGCTGTCTCTGATTGGGAACCACCCTGGCCAACATAGAAATAAACGATCTAGAACAAAACCCATAGAAAACTAAACATAACAAGTCCACACCCTGGCTCAACATTTAAGAGTCCCCAGAGCCAGGGCATGACAGTACCCCCCCCCCCCCCCCCCCCAAAGGCGCGGACTGCGACCGCGCCAACCAAACACAACAGGGGAGGGGCCGGGTGGGCATTCCGCCTCGGAGGCGGATCCGGCTCCGGGCGTGACCACCACGCTCTCTCTACCCCCCCGTAGCGCCCCTGGTCTGGTCTGGCCCCGCTGGCCGGAGCTGGACTGGACACCGGTGGAGCGGATTGCTCTGGCTCCGGTGTGGAGCAGCTGACCGGTGCCGGACCAGGCACCGGTGGAACAGGCACGGACCGTGCCGGACTGATGACGCGCACCACTGGCTTGGTGCGGGGAGCAGGAACGGGCCGGACCGGGCTGGCGACGCGCACCACTGGCTTGGTGCGGGGAGCAGGAATGGGCCGGACCGGGCTGACGACGCGCAGCACTGGCTTGGTGCGGGGAGCAGGAACGGGCCGGACCGGGCTGGCGACGCGCACCACTGGCTTGGTGCGGGGAGCAGGAACGGGCCGGACCGGGCTGGCGACGCGCACCACAGGCTTGGTGCGGGGAGCAGGAACCGGCCGGACCGGGCTGGCGACGCGCACCACAGGCTTGGTGCGAGGAACAGGAACAGGCCGGGCTGGACTGTGGAGACGGACTGGAGGTCTGGAGCGGAGAGCTGACACAACCCGTCCTGGCTGAATGCCTATTTCCACACACTCTGTGTGAGGTATCAGCACAGGACGTACAGGGCTGTGCACTCGTACTGGCACTACAGCACGTGGCACTGGCGCAGGATATCCGGCACCGAGGAGGGGTACTGGAGGCCACGAGCGTTGAGCCGGCACACTCCGTCCTGGCTGCATGCCCACCTTAGCACGACACGTGCGTGGTGCTAGCACAGGACGTACAGGACTGTGCCGGAACACTCGCGGCACAGTACGTGGCTCCGCATAACACGGAACCTGCCCAGTCTCACGCTGCCTAGCCTGAGTATGGGGAGTTGGCTCTGCTCTACCTCTAGGCTCCGCCAACCACCCTTCCAGCCCCCCAAACCTGGTGGCCTCCTCTCCTAGTCCGCCGATTCGCCCTGTAGCTGCCTCCAGCAGCCCCGTCGTCCACGCCGTGTGCCCCCCCCCAAAAAAAATAACTTGGGGTTGCCTCTCGCGTGTCCGTCGTCGGCACGGTTGGCGCCGTTTCTCCTCTCCTGCCTGGGCATTTCCTTTGCCACCCTTGCCCGCGAGATCTCCCCAAACACATTGCCCACCTGGCATCGCATCTTTCCTCCTGGGCCGTGCTGTCTCTAGGTGGGATCTCTGCAATCGTCGACGATGCGGACCGAGGCGCAGCGTGAAAGCGACCTTATTAGTACACACACTACCAACATAACCAACATACAAGTCCTAGTTATACACAACCTAGAACAGACCCACTAACTGTGAAACATGCCTAAGTATGGTCCCTCCACGAGCTACAGCTGTCTCTGATGGGAACCACCTGGCCACATAGAAATAAACGATCTAGAACAAAACCCATAAAATCTAACATAAACAAGTCACACCCTGGCTCAACATTTAAGATCCCCAGAGCCAGAGCGTGTGAACACACGGGCATGAATTTTAAGCCCAAGCCCTAACCATGCCTGTGACGTTAAGGCCCTACCCTAACCAGGCCTGATTGCTTCTGCCAAATTTAAGGCCCGGTCCCTGCCCGAAGCCCAAAATCAGAAATAACTTCCTCTGTTAGTAAATCCATTAGCTGCTCCTCTCTGTCTGTCACTCGCTCCTTGCGCGGAGCTCGCTCTGCATGCGCATTTCTCATGGCGGCTCCGAGTCTGTGAATATCCATAGCAACGGCAAGTGACACTTTGCTCTTTGAAAATCTTATATCTTGAAAACTTCACTGCTGACAAAAAAAAACTTTGGGATTGTATCAACAGTAAACTAATGAAAAACATACCAAAAGATAGTTGTTGAGTTTATATATTTTTTCCCTTTAAATACCATAATCCACACCCATCCTGGCACTATGTGAGCGTGGGTGCATTCAACATTTACAAGGCTGAGAAACCAGACTTGTGCTCCAAACAAAAGACAATAAAGCAAGCGACAGAAAACTGGTGAATATAATTAAATAAACCAAAGCTTCTTACTCAGAGTGTTTTGCGCAGTTTGTGAGCTCTCCAAAGAACGTGTCCACTACGATAATGAGAACGGAATGAATGTATTAATACTGTAAATTACCGTAACCAGACATTCTAAATGTGCGAATGGTGGGGATTAACAGTAACTTCACTGATGATTACATATTTAGCGGGGGCATTGGTAAACACCACAGGAGGCTGGTGAGGGGAGGACAGCTCATAATAATGGATGGAATGGAGTGAATGGAATGGTATTAAACATGGAATGGAAACCATGTGTTTGATGTGTTTGATACCATTACATTAATTCCGTTCCAGCCATTACAATGAGCCTATCCTACCCAATTAAGGTGCTACCAGCCACCTGTGGTAAACACTGGCAAACAAAGGGCAACAATTCACTCAATTAAGAAATGAATGTGCTCGAAATAGGTGGGAGTCAGTGCACATTTACGTGCCTACAGCGCACCTTCGCCACAGGAAATAACAGAAATATAGGGTGGGTGGGCACACAAAGTGGGGATTATTGAATATATGGCAAAGATTTTGGCAAAATAGTCCACAAATAAAGTATTACAGTATACCGGTCTTGTAACTAACATTATGCATGCGTCTGCTGGACAGGTGCATTTGACGAAAAGGCAAAGATGGAGGCTCACCACATACTGGGCTGCAACATCAAGGTGGAGAAAGATATCTGGTTAGTAGTAAATCAAATCAAATCAAATGTTATTTGTCACAATGCGCCGAATACAACAGGTGTAGACCTTACAGTGAAATGCTTACTTACAAGCCCTTAACCAACAATGCAGTTTTAAGAAAGAAAATAATACGAAATAAAGGTAACAAATAATTAAAGAGCAGCAGTAAAAATAACAATAGCGGGGCTGTATACAGGGGGTACGGTACCGAGTAAATGTACGGGGGGCACTGGTTAGTCGAGGTAATATGTACATGTAGGTAGAGTTATTAAAGTGACTATGCATAGATAATAAACGGGGGGGGGGGTGCAAATAGTCTGGGTAGCCATTTGATTAGATGGTCAGGAGTCTTATGGCTTGGGGGTAGAAGCTGTTTAGAAGCCTCTTGGACCTAGACTTGGCGCTCCGGTACCGCTTTCCGTGCGGTAGCAGAGAGAACAGTCTATGACTAGGGTGTCTGGAGTCTTTGACAATTTTTAGGGCCTTCATCTGACACCGCCTGGTATAGAGGTCCTGGATGGCAGGAAGCTTGGCTCCAGTGATGTACTGGGCTGTACGCACTACCCTCTGTAGTGCCTTGCGGTCGGAGGCCAACCAGTTGCCATACCAGGCAGTGATGCAACCAGTCAGGATGCTCTCGATGGTGCAGCTGTAGAACCTTTTGAGTATCTGAGGACCCATGCCAAATCATTTCAGTCTCCTTAGGGGGAATAGGTTTTGTCGTGTCCTCTTCACGACTGTCTTGGTGTGCTTCGAACATGTTAGTTTGTTGGTGATGTGGACACCAAGGAACTTGAAGCTCTCAACCTGCTCCACTACAGCCCCGTCAATGAGAATGGGGGCGTGCTCGGTCCTCTTATTTTTCCTGTAGTCCACAATCATCTCCTTTGTCTTGTTGTCCTGGCACCACACGGCCAGGTCTCTGACCTCCTCCCTATAGGCTGTCTCGTCGTTGTCGTTGATCAGGCCTACCACTGTTGTGTCATTGGCAAACTTAATGATGGTGTTGGAGTCATGCCTGGCCATGCAGTCATGAGTGAACAGGGAGTACAGGAGGGGACTGAGCACGAACCCCTGAGGGGACCCCCGTGTTGAGGATCAGCGTGGCGGATGTGTTGTTACCTACACTTACCACCTGGGGGCGGCCCGTCAGGAAGTCCAGGATCCAGTTGCAGAGGGAGGTGTTTAGTCCAAGGGTCCTTAGCTTAGTGATGAGCTTTGAGGGCACTATGGTGTTGAACGCTGAGCTGTAGTCAATGAATAGCATTCTCACATAGGTGTTCCTTTTGTCCAGGTGTGAAAGGTCAGTGTGGAGCACAATAGAGATTGCATCATCTGTGGATCTGTTGGGGCGGTATGCAAATTGGAGTGGGTCTAGGGTTTCTGAGATAATGGTGTTGATGGGAGCCATGACCAGCCTTTCAAAGCACTTCATGGCTACAGACGTGAGTGCTACGGGTCGGTAGTCATTTAGGCAGGTTACCTTAGAGTTCTTGGACACAGGGACTATGGTGGGCTGCTTGAAACATGTTGGTATTACAGACTCAGACAGGGAGAGGTTGAAAATGTCAGTGAAGACACTTGCCAGTTGGTCAGCGCATGCTCGGAGTACACGTCCTGGTAATCCGTCTGGCCCTGCGGCCTTGTGAATGTTGACCTGTTTAAAGGTCTTACTCACATCGGCTACGGAGAGCATGATCACACAGTCGTCCGGAACAGCTGATGCTCTCGTGCATGTTTCAGTGTTACTTGCCTCGAAGCGAGCATAGAAGTAATTTAGCTCGTCTGGTAGGCTCGTGTCACACTCTTTGAAAGCGTTAGCTCTACCCTTTAGCTCAGTGCGGATGTTGCCTGTAATCCATCGCTTCTGGTTGGGGTATGTACGTACAGTCACTGTTGGGACGACGTCATCGATGCACTTATTGATGAAGCCAGTGACTGATGTGGTGTACTCCTCAATGCCATCGGAAGAATCCCAGAACATATTCCAGTATGTGCTAGCAAAACAGTCCTGTAGCTTAGCAGCTGCTTCATCTGACCACTTTTTTATTGACCGAGTCACTGGTGCTTCCTGCTTTAGTTTTTGCTTGTAAGCAGGAGGATAGAATTATGGTCAGATTTGCCAAATGGAGGGCGAGGGAGAGCTTTGTACGCGCAAGAGTGTAGTAGTCTCAATTTCAATGTTTTTGAACAGTACGATTTAATCAAATGTGATGACCTTTCTTCAGTCAACCTGAACTGTACCATGTCACATATAGTTTACTTGAAATGCCTTGCTTTGTGAACTTAACAAAACATATGTTGTTTAGTAAAGTGCTTGACCTTTCTCTCCTTTTCCTCTGCCTCTTTAGTGAGGGGAGTGGAGCCTTCTCAGGCTCTCAGATCTACCACATGGTGCTTTACATTCACACAAACCTGCAGAAGGAGGTGGAAGCCCTCATGAAACACTAGTAAGCATCCATCGCTTTTGTTTTTATTTGTGATTCAAGAGTGCGAAGAAGACCACATAAGCAATGAGAAGTCATTCAGAAGCAAAGAAAATACAATATATTTTTCTGATGGCAATGTATTGTCTATTCATCTGATGTTTATCTCACACAGCCACATCAAAGGGGGTTTCAGTCGCTACCACAGAAAATACAATTTTGCAAATTCAAGAATTATAGAATTCTTTCAAGATCAGCTGAATAAGTAAGTAATGCTTTTTTTAAATTCTTGATGGTTAGCCATCATCTTTCTCTTCACCACAGAGATGAGACATTATCTGGATGTATGAGAGATATTAACGCCACAGAGATTAGACATTATCTGGATGTATGAGAGATATTAACGCCACAGAGATGAGACATTATTTGGATGTATGAGAGATATTAACGCCACAGAGATGAGACATTATCTGGATGTATGAGAGATATTAACGTCACAGAGATGAGACATTATCTGGATGTATGAGAGATATTAACGCCACAGAGATGAGACATTATCTGGATGTATGAGAGATATTAACGCCACAGAGATGAGACATTATCTGGAGATATTTACATTTACATTTACATTTTAGTCATTTAGCAGACGCTCTTATCCAGAGCAACTTACAGTTACTGAGTGCATACATTTTTCATACTGCCCCCCCGTGGGAATCGAACCCACAACCCTGGCGTTGCAAACGCCATGCTCTACCAACTGAGCTACACAGGGCAATAAAACCTTGCCTGGAAATGCAAGACACAGATGACTATAAGCACGATTAGCAGTCATACATTCTGTAGCACTCGTTTGCTCCACATTGAACGGCCCACTTCTTTCAGACAAATGATGCAGTAGTGCTGCTGTAGTAATAACAAAATAATACAAAAATAACAGCAAATATGATCACAAGAGGGGAAAAACTAACACGCTTCACTTCAGAGTTCTGGTGCTGATAGGAACATGTTCTTTCCAAACTCTAAAAGCTAGGACTACGAATACTACATTTATCAAATACTCCAAGTGCAAGATATGTCCACAGTCCACTATCTTACCTAGATAGAAACAACTATGTTCTCAGAAATAAAAACTACTTCAGGCCAAACTGAGCTGAGTTCGTGGCAGGGGAGTACTTCAAGTGTTTAAGTAACTATTGTTCACATTCACACTCAACCCAATCACTCTCTCACACACACACACACACACACACACACACACAAATACAATATATTCGCATAGTGGTCCTAAGGTTACTAATAGTATAGCCTGTACGACCTACAAGGACCAGCCAAGAAACACATTTGGGCCATGGCTGCCCTAAAGACACAGGTAGTAACATCTGGACCAGGGATAAAGCACACCAACCACTGGTCCACCAGAAAAATAAGAGCCAAGCTATCAATAGGAAAATAAAAGGAAACCATATGAGAGATGGTATGAGAGATATTCAGCCACTTGGAGGACAATCGAATAAAAAAGTGCAGCTTCTTCATTAGTTAAACCTTTGTCTCCTCTTCCAGACTGTTGGATAAGTGGGAGACGTACATGGAGAACTTCCGTATGGAGATGGAGGGCATCTACTTCCCAGACACAGTGGAGGAGTGGATGGAGGAGAATGTCAACGCCAACATGGATCTACTGAGAGAGAATGCCCGGGATGCCGAGCGAATCCTAAAACTGAACGGACAGCCAAAGTCACTGAAGACCTTATAGGGACTTGTCTTGTACAATCTCCAGACCTGATGCTGTTGGGTTGGAACTTAGCACACAGTACCTGTTGCTGGTATGTCTAAAGGAGTTTTTCCTGACCATGTGACTTGACCAGGAAATACTCTGGGTCATAGTTATACTGGTGCTAGTTATAGCCTGTAACTAGGGTCCACAATTTGGCTATCTGGCTTTACAAGGCATTAACTGTTTGATTGCACTGAATAGTGACGTGTCACATGGCTCATATTTATATAGCAAATCATGCTCTTTGCAGAATCTGCACTGAAGCTGTTTCTTTGTATGTTTGTTTTCTTGTTTGTTTGTGGTGGGGAGCTCTGATGAGAACAACATTCTGTTAAAACACTCTGTTCCTGTATATGTATTTTTTAGCTCCTCACTGTTGCCACATAATGATGCAACTAAGGGTTTTGCCAGTAACCATGGCATAATATGTTTTATACTGCTTGGAATGTTAGCATGAGTGCCTCGGATGGTCTATGGCAGGGGTGTCAAACGTCCGGCCCGCGGGCCGGATCAGGCCCGCAAACGGGTTTAATCCGGCCCGCAAGATGATTTTGAAAAAACAAAACAAAACAAACAAACAAAAAAATTGTAAAGTATAAAAATGCTCTGCAATTTTTCAATAAAATAAACTGCTGTTCCAATTGCGTCCACTGGATGGCGCAATAGCAATTGTGTTAAGCAAGCAAACTGTTTATACCGGGGCAGAGCAAGTAGGTCAAGCACGTGCAGCCAATGAGCTACTTTGTTTTGCCCGCGATATTTATTACGGCTTCTACTTTTACATTTATGTGCTTTGGCACCCTCATTGCCCCAATATGTCTCTGTCAAAAAACAGAAAAGTGGACGCAGAGTGCAGAGTGTTCCAAGAAAAATGGTCATCCTATTTATTCACGGAATTGAATGGGAAAGCTGTATGTTTGGTGTGTTCAGAGCATGTTGCAGTGCTGAAAGAATATAACCTTCGTCGCCACTATGTGAGTCTTCATGCCGACAAATATGACAACTTTCAAGGACAGCGGAGATGAGAGAAGGTGAATGAACTGTTGGCGGGTCTGAAGAAACAGCAGTCTGTGTTTACTCACAGCCGAGACATCAGTGACGCTGCAGTGAAAGCTAGCTACCTCATTGCTAATGAAATCGCAGTGGCTTCAAAACCATTTAGTGAGGGTGAATTTGTAAAAACATGCATGATGAAGGCAGCGGAGATTGTGTGCCCTGAAAAGCGGCAGGCTTTTGCAAATATCAGCCTGACAAGAAACACAGTTGCAGACAGGATTTCCGATCTTTCAGTGGATTTGGACAGCCAGTTGAAGCAAAAAGTAAAGTCATTTATTGCGTTTTCGGTTGCAATTGATGAAAGCACGGACATTACAGATGTTGCACAACTGGCCATTTTCATCCGCGGAGTTGATGACACATTGACCGTCACCGTGGAGTTGGTGCCGATGACAGATACAACGACAGCAGCTGATATTTTTACCGCACTCGTCGGCGCGCTGGACAGGGTCGGAGTGGACTGGTCCCGCGCTGTCAGCCTGGCTACAGATGGTGCAGAGCACCTGAATAACTTGAACAAACAGCTGCAAGGGCGCAACAAAGTTGTCACGCAGTATTATGACAGCATACGTTCTTTCAAGTTGAAGCTGTCATTGTGGGAGACGCAACTTGCCGGTGGTGATGCAGCTCACTTCCCCTGTCTGAAAAATGTGTGCGCGACCCAACATGTGGCAGACATGAAGCGGTTCAAAGATAAAATAACGGGACTGTCTGTAATCACTGAGGAATTGTGTGTTTGTGTGTTCTTTTTCTTTAGAATTTTCAAATAAACTTGACGTGTTTTATGATTAATAGTGATGTTGTGCTTGTACTATTTCGGACACACTGTCCTCAGGCTCCAGCTTTATGTTGTATGTTGATCGTATTAAAACAAAGAAAACAATCTGAAGTTGTTGTTTTTAAGTTATATATACCATGATTTTTCCGGTCCGGCCCACTTGGGAATAGATTTTCCTCCATGTGGCCCCTGAGCTAAAATGAGTTTGACACCCCTGGTCTATGGGTTATGAGCAAAGAGATGTTTATTACAAGTGTATGCTTGAATATGAACACTACAGAAAGGAACACTGATCCTGTTATGTTCAAATTGCGCTGTAAGATTCATGCAGTCTATATTATACTGCGACGTTAACGTGCCTTTACAGCTTACAGGATGTAGCTCTTTAAGTTCTATTGATGTGCTGCTGCACAGTCTCAAGTTAAAACACTGGCTCATTGTACAACATTGTTGAACACTGGTTGCTCATTACAAACGTGCAGTCATTACAAATTAAATGTGCAGTCATTACAAATTAAATGTGCAGTCATTACAAATTAAATGTGCAGTCATTACAAATTAAATGTGCAGTCATTACAAATTAAATGTGCAGTCATTACAAATTGAAGATTGTGTATTTTGCACATATTAGTTGATTATTCTTGATTGAAATGTATTAAAAGGTTTTAACTTGATTATTGTTATTTTATTGTTAATACAGGATTTTTTCTTTAACGAGGAGCTCTGACAGTTCCCTGGATGTGTAGGTTATGGTATGCTATATCAAGTTTTGGTCACCTTGGGTTTCCTTTATCATAGCCTACCTCAATGCTGACAGTGTACAATACCAATTAAAAGAGTGTATTGATTCATAGATGTATATGATTTGATTCTGGTATGTGAATACTAAGAGCTTAAATAAATGGGGTTTATACGCACATTATTTATTTTTATTTAATCGCTTCGGCAAACGTGGGTACTGTTTAAAAATACCTAGCATCAAAATTGGTTGGTATTATGAGAGAAGCACATTCTCTAACGAAGCATGTTTACGACACAAAGTAAACACAAACTGCTTTACTGCAGCACTAAACATGGCGTCCCAATTTAGCGGTGTTTTGCAGTTGACAGATCTAGATGATTTTATCACTCCTTCCCAGGTAAATAACACTTAACCATAAAAAATCAGCTTATTAAACATGTTTTACATCATTTTGGCTTAGGTCTAATGTGGTTATTTTAATGTTAACGACCCACTGGTCGCCACTCGCAGTAGCTAGTTAACGTTACCTAGCTAGCTAGTTAGCTAACGTTTGCTAACCTCTTAAGTGCTGTCAAATAGAGTATTATCTGTCCAACTTCCAAAGGCGTATGTTGCTCTATTGGCATTGCTGTGTAAATTGGTTGAAGCAATGGTGGTTTTGAATTGAAAGCGCATGTTTTCGTGTTTTAATCTAGCTAGCTAGTCGCGCAGGCTGGTGGGAGGAGTTATAGGAGGACGGGCTCATTGTAATGACTGGAATGGGATCATGGAATGGAGTCAAATACGTTGTTTCCTTCCAGCCTCCGCTACTAGCTAGTTGGTTTGCGCTCTCGCTAAGTAGCTAGGTCATCGAAATGACATGTGACTCATTTGACTAGCTAACTAGTTAACTTCCTAGGTTGAAGAACTTAGCCAAAGATGTCCAATTTTATCTGTGACAGTTGTCTGTCGTCAGACACACCATTAGTTCATTTCACTTTAATTTCATTGGTCCTTATACTGTAAGCACCTGGATGTGACTAAGCTAGCTAGTATTGTTTGTGATTGTACTTTCCCTTTTTTTTATTGCTACTTGCTCTCCTTTCCTTTCCCAGGAATGTGTGAAACCAGTCAAGGTGGAGAAGAAGCAAGGCAGATCTGTGGCTAAAATTCAAATAGAAGATGATGGGAGCTATTTCCAGGTTAACCAGGTGCGGATGATATCACATTGACTAACATGTCAACTGTCATGAGCCTGCTTCACTGAGGGTGAATCTCAAAACTCCCATGTTGCTTCCTCTTCTCATCTCTCCTTCACCTGCACTTGGATTGGTGAAAGCAATATGGCTGCCTTATGGGATTTGTTTTACTTTATCAAATTAATTTGAGGAGAGGATGCTACTTATTGAGACACATTTTCTTTCTCTCTGTTTACCTACAGTACAATATTACTCCACCTTGTTCTTTGTGTCTCCAGGATGGTGGAAAGCAGAAGCTGGAGAAAGCTAAGATCACTCTGAATGACTGCCTGGCCTGCAGTGGCTGCATCACCTCAGCTGAGAGTGTCCTTATCACACAGCAGAGTCATGAAGAGATCTATAGGGTGCTACGCAACAACAAGGTAGAGTAAGGTGTGAGTGTTGTCAGCCATCTGAAGATCCACAAACAGGACCCACCAGTCATACTCAACCCAGAGTGTTCACTGATGATGATGGTGTCTGTATCCGTGCCAATAATTTATTCCCTGTGTGTAACTAGTCTCCCTTCCTCTCCCCAGCAGGCGGGTGTACCAGAGCAGAAGGTGGTGGTGGTGTCTGTGTCCCCACAGTCCAGAGCCTCCCTGGCAGCACGCTATGGCCTGAGCAGCAGTGAGGCGGGCAGGAGGCTCACCGCCTTCTTCAAGGGTCTGGGTGAGTGGGAAGGTTAAAAGATAAACATTTGTGTAATATAGGACATCAGTTTATCTGACACATTAGTGATCTACATTATATTTAGATAAAATATACTGACTGTTGTGTTTCAGGGGTTCACCACGTGTTTGACACCAGCTTCAGCCGGACCTTCAGCCTGTTGGAGAGTCAGAGGGAGTTTGTGGAGCGGTTCCATCGGAAGGGACAGGACAAGCAGGCCCTGCCCATGCTGGCCTCTGCCTGCCCAGGTAACCAGCTGTACCTCAACCCATTCACTAGTCCCTGATTATCTCCAGGCCAGAATCCTTTCAATAGAACTTCAGAAACCAAGGCCCAATTTCACAAAGTTCCTCAGATTAGAAGTGGGTGGGTGCTTATATTTGTCCTATTTCACACATGTACAAGTGTGTATTAATTGGAAATGTGTTTTTTTGCATATCCCAACTCCCCCTGAGATACCCTCAGAGAGTGGGGTCACGGCCAGAAGAGGGAATAAGAGGAATAAGAGAATAGATCATCTCCTACTCTGAGACACTTTATAAATACAGGCCCTGGTCTCTTCCAGGTCCAGTAATAATACAGGCTTGTGTTGTGTTCAGGTTGGATCTGCTATGCAGAGAAAACCCATGGAGAGTTCATCCTGCCCTACGTCAGCACCACCCGCTCCCCACAGCAGATGATGGGCTCTCTGGTGAAGGGCTTCTTCGCTGGCCAGCAGGTTGGTAGGGGCTCATTGACACCCATGGTGTCCTGCATGGGTCTGTTTTTTGGAGCCGCACCCGTCCCGCGCCAGCCACATCAATTCTGATCTCCACCCGATACCAGACATCAGGACATATTTTTCTGTGCAACCCGACCCATCCGCATAAAATTGTTCTGAGAGCTGATACATTATCTGCCAAATAACATCGATTTATTTAGTGTTTATGACTCCTGAGTAGTAGGCTAATATTCCCCTTCCCTGCATGAGTGAATTTGTCTGCATGTCTATTCAACATGAATTAAGAACTATATATATTTTTTCTTCACAATGCTATGCATTGACAACTGAAATCGCTTTGAAAAAAGGAGCCTTCTAATTAGCCGCCTTACCTAATGAAAGCCTATAGCCGACATAACAAAACAAGACCCTTACATTCAGTATTGTTTAGATAATCAAATAGTTTAATTGAAACTTAAAGGGATTCTCCGGTACATTTGTATACTTTTTAGCCTGTAGTTCTGAAAGTAGCGTCCACGAGCTAAAAGTGGTCCCCGAAAATTGTGTACTACATCACATATTTGCATATACAGTGGGGAGAACAAGTATTTGATACACTGCTGATTTTGCAGGTTTTCCTACTTACAAAGCATGTAGAGGTCTGTCATTTTGATCATAGGTACACTTCAACTGTGAGAGACGGAATCTAAAACAAAAATCCAGAAAATCACATTGTATGATTTTTAAGTAATTCATTTGCATTTTATTGCATGACATAAGTATTTGATCACCTACCAACCAGTAAGAATTCCGGCTCTCACAGACCTGTTAATTTTTCTTTAAGAAGCCCTCCTGTTCTCCACTCATTACCTGTTTTAACTGCACCTGTTTGAACTCGTTACCTGTATAAAAGACACCTGTCCACACACTCAATCAAACAGACTCCAACCTCTCCACAATGGCCAAGACCAGAGAGCTGTGTAAGGACATCAGGGATAAAATTGTAGACCTGCACAAGGCTGGGATGGGCTACAGGACAATAGGCAAGCAGCTTGGTGAGAAGGCAACAACTGTTGGCGCAATTATTAGAAAATGGAAGAAGTTCAAGATGACGGTCAATCACCCTCGGTCTGGGGCTCCATGCAAGATCTCACCTCGTGGGGCATCAATGATCATGAGGAAGGTGAGGGATCAGCCCAGAACTACACGGCAGGACCTTGTCAATGACCTGAAGAGAGCTGGGACCACAGTCTCAAAGAAAACCATTAGTAGCACACTACGCCGTCATGGATTAAAAATTATGCAGCGCACGCAAGGTCCCCCTGCTCAAGCCAGCGCATGTCCAGGCCCGTCTGAAGTTTGCCAATGACCATCTGGATGATCCAGAGGAGGAATGGGAGAAGGTCATGTGGTCTGATGAGACAAAAATAGAGCTTTTTGGTCTAAACTCCACTCGCCGTGTTTGGAGGAAGAAGAAGGATGAGTACAACCCCAAGAACACCATCCCAACGTGAAGCATGGAGGTGGAAACATCATTTTTGGGGGATGCTTTTATGCAAAGGGGACAGGATGACTGCACTGTATTGAGGGGAGGATGGATGGGTCCATGTATCGCAAGATCTTGACCAACAACCTCCTTCCCTCAGTAAGAGCATTGAAGATGGGTCGTGGCTGGGTCTTCCAGCATGACAACGACCCGAAACACACAGCCAGGGTAACTAAGGAGTGGCTCCGTAAGAAGTATCTCAAGGTCCTGGAGTGGCCTAGCCAGTCTCCAGACCTGAACCCAATAGAAAATCTTTGGAGGGAGCTGAAAGTCCGTATTGCCCAGCGACAGCCCCGAAACCTGAAGGATCTGGAGAAGGTCTGTATGGAGGAGTGGGCCAAAATCCCTGCTGCAGTGTGTGCAAACCTGGTCAAGACCTACAGGAAACGTATGATCTCTGTAATTGCAAACAAATGTTTCTGTACCAAATATTAAGTTCTGCTTTTCTGATGTATCAAATACTTATGTCATGCAATAAAATGCAAATTAATTACTTAAAAATCATACAATGTGATTTTCAGGATTTTTTTTTTTGATTCTGTCTCTCACAGTTGAAGTGTACCTATGATAAAAATTACAGACCTCTACATGCTTTGTAAGTAGGAAAACCTGCAAAATCGGCAGTGTATCAAATACTTGTTCTCCCCACTGTATGTGCTCCACGTCATTGCTCTCTCTTTCGCACTGCTGTGTGTGATTCTTGCTAGTTGTCACTCAAATGGCGATGGGCTGAATCTCATTGGCTGGAACTCGATTTGCTAGGGGGCTGGCCCATGTGGGGGAAAGTTAGGGAAAATGCCGCAGCACAGCTTCCAGAAAATAGTCGCTTTCAAACTAGGGATTTCGTGGCTAATTGAGGTAAGACAGTAATTCTGCTCATGGATTATGCATGTATGAACTACACATTGAGACATCCAGCCCAAAGCCTCAGGTTAAAAAAAATACTTACTAGTCGCTAAAGTACCTCATGTCTTTCCCAGAATAATTTATTTAGTAGGCTACACTTTTACCAGCGGCACTGGTTTAAACGTTATATGGCCTGCATAGGGTCTAAATGTACAAAAGCCTGAATTAACATAATCATTCACTAATAATTAACTGAATTATCATAAACAAATACCTGCTTGCACTTTTTGCAGGCTGTGCATCCATCTACCGGGTTGTTGTCCTTGTCCATAATGACTCCAAAATCCTTCCAAAGTGGGGATTTCACTCGCCCCAGCACCTTTTTCCATGATTGTGTATTCCCCGATAATAACTTTTATTTTATTTGTCCTGTTACATTAGCCATTTTTGCATGAGATAGGCTAGCCAGGTAAAGTAAACTTGGCAATGTATTCTCACATGGGGGAAGGGAACATAAGCTCTGCATGTGGACAAATTAAAATGTTTCAGCACCACACAAATAATGGACAGTTCCCTGCTCCACACTTTCATTGCGTGCGTGGCTGCTATGTCTGCCTCACCGCTCACAGAATGGAATTCACATAGCAATGCAAAACAACAAGCTCCTGGGTTTGTAAATTTTAACAAATAAAAACATCTTGATTTAAAAAGTTTCTGACCCGCAATATAATTGTTTTGAACCGAAAGCCAACCTGCAAAAAAAAAAAAATGACACCCGCCAGCCGATGATGCAGGAGTCTGACACTCAGCATGGATCAGGGATGCAGACTGCAGGGTTAAATATCTAGATGTTAGTTATGGAATAGAGTAAATGGAGTCAGGTGATATAGAGCAGAGATGTAGAGTAACGTTTAATAGATGATATTAAGAATGTGTGTTCATTTTCGATGATGATTCTATCATGTCTGTATAGTAGGATGAGATCTTCTAAAGGATATGACTGACAGGTGTGTTGTTGTTGCAGGGCCTGAGCCCTCAGCAGATCTACCATGTGACTGTGATGCCCTGCTATGATAAGAAACTGGAGGCCTCCAGGCCTGACTTCTACCTGGAGGAGGCTGAGACCAGAGAGGTGGACTGTGTCATCACTTCAGGTAGGGAGGACACTAAACCACTATGGCAGATAATATTCAAAGTGTGTGTGTGTCTGTGTGTGTTTTTCTGTTTTGAATCACATTTTTAAATGTACATTTTATGATGCCCGTTTCTGTTTATTTCATGACAGGAGAAGTTCTGAAGATGCTAGAGGAAGAGAAAGTGTTGCTCAGCGACGTGGAGCCAGCCCCATTCGATACAATGTAAGGGTTTGAACGTCATCATCTTTTACATTTTAGTCATTTAGCAGACGCTCTTATCCAGAGCGACTTACAGTTAGTGAATGCATACATTTTCATACTGGCCCCCCATGGGAAACGAACCCACAACCCTGGCGTTGCAAGCGCCATGCTCTACCAACTGAGCTACAGGGGACTTTTACATGTAAATGACTACATACTTGTATGTCAGGAGAACTCCAGAAGGTGTGTTTGTGCGTGCGCCGCGTGCGTCAGGAGAACTCCACACTTGCTGATGTGTGTGTGCGCACTTGTGTCCCTGCAGGTTCAGCAGTGTGTGTGGTGATGAGTTGCTGGGTCATGCAGGGAGCGGTTCAGGAGGATACCTCCATCACGTGTTCACACACGCTGCCAGACAGCTGTTTGGAGAGGAGGTGAAGGAGCTCACTTACAAAACACTCAAGTAAGTCAGTCGGGTCCTGCAGTATTAAAGCCCTGTTAGGAGCTCACCTCAGCTAATTAGTTAGCATTCACTTAGTTGTGTCAACTGTGAAATAGTGCAGGCAAAATACTCAGTCTCTCTTTATTTCGATGAGATTTGCAGGGAAGTCTGCCTCTGCATCCTATCAGCCATGGGAAGTATAGATTTGTTGAGAAGAATAACCTTGAAATTAGAGCAAGTTGAAGAAACAGTCGTTTGTTATTGGACAAGTCCAAGAAGTCCTTGTTTCAGTGTGATTTATTTCGTTTGGTGCCTAATGAACACAACCCTGATGAACCTGTCCCCTATAGGAACAAGGACTTCCAGGAGGTGACCCTGGAGAGGGACGGTGTGGTCGTGCTGCGTTTCGCCGCAACCTACGGTTTCCGCAACATCCAGAACCTGGTGCAGAAACTCAAGAGGGGCAAGTCACCCTACCACTTTGTAGAGGTCATGGCCTGTCCGTCAGGTGAGGAAAGAGGAGGCTTTGTTTGTTGGCTTGTTGGTTTACATTTTAGTTTAATATAAACACAAGATACTATATACAATTGAATGAAGAAAAAAACATGCATGAGGGTGGAATTGAATTATAATGTCATGTCCATTTATTTATTTACTGCTATGGTTGAAATCTTTATTCTACACCTGCACAGAAGCTACCACAGGCAATCTAGTATTAGAAAGCACACTGCATGAATTCCCCTGAGGAAAGGTTCCTCTTTGTAAAGGCATTTTTTTTAGTTCAAGTCTAACTGAATTTGTAAAACCGGGTTGTGTGTTGTTTCCTCACTGTGTGTGTATACAGGTTGTCTGAATGGGGGAGGCCAGGTGAAGCCCTTACCAGAGCAGAACAACAAGGAGTTACTACAGCAGGTGGAGGACCTGTACAGGGAGGAGCGTCCTCTAGTGCCCGAGGAGGACCAGCGCGTGGCAGAGCTGTACCAGTCCTGGCTACAGAGTGTAGGAGAGGAGAGAGCCAGGGAGCTGCTGCACACACAGTACCATGCAGTGGAGAAGGCCTCCAACGGACTCCTTGTCAAATGGTGAAGAAGAGGGTGAAAGGATGTTGAGGGGTTTCTGGCTTCTGTAAGTGAATGTAAGACTGTCAGGGTACATCTCAATAGTGGCCTCCTCTGTTTCATCTCCATTGAGCTTAACACATATTAGGTGAAAGCAGCATGGCGGATTCTTGTCGGGTATTTTCTGTCACTTCTAGTTCTTTAATAACAGTAGAAATCAGTGGAGCTTGGTGGGAGGAGCTATAGGAGGGCTCATTGTAATGGCTGGAATGGAATAAAGGGAACCGAGTCAAAGGTGGGTTCCATATCTTTGATGCGTTGGATACCGTTCCATTATTCCATTCCAGCCATTACAATGAGCCTGTCCTCCTATAGCTCCTTCCACCAGCCTCCACTGGTAGAAATAAAGGAAAGGGCATGAGAGGAAATCTATTGAGATGCATCCCTATTCTAGGATTATTTGAACCATTGAGTGAAATCACAAAACTTGACCTTGGATCAATGTTTATATCTGTACTGGATGACTGCAGAACCGTCCAAACGACTGAATTTACCACTTTCCTTCACGCGTTCTCTCTCGTCTCTCCGTCTTCCCTCTCCATCACTGTCTCTCTCTGCTTTTAAGGACCCCTCATCTCTTGATTTCTCTATCTATCCATTAATTCCTTTCTATGTATCCCTCTCTGTCTGTGCTTAAAGGACTGTCTCAGTCAGGTCAAATAGAGCATTATCGCCAAGTGTTTAATTACTGTGGCGGCCTATCATTCATTCATTTATACCAACATAAAGGCTGTATACATTCAGGCTATAGATTCTATACACACAAGCTAATTCATACCAGACCTTAATGTGGTTGGAGAATTATGACTTTACTACTGTTGTCAAGTGTGCACTAATTATGAATACAGCAGCAAATTCTGTTATTTCAGTTGTATGCACTGAAAAGTATTTGTTGTACTCTTGAAATGTTTTCTGATGGAATTCTAAAGAAATATTTTACATAGTTTAAATGTATATAATCTCTGCCTTATTTATAAAAATAATCTATATGATGAACCATATTTTGCATATTAAAATGCTACATTAGTGTGACTTTCAAGTACATGTTATTCACCAAATACCAGCAATCAGTGATATACATACTGACATGTTTTACTTGAAATACAAAATAACCGTTTCAGAGGTAGAAAATAAGCGCATACACTTAAAATATTTATTTTAAATATGTGTTTTCTTCCTTTGAATGGCATGGTGAGAACAAGAGGCACATAAGCAGCTAGGCCATTGATTAAAATGGACTAAGTAATATTAGCAATATGTCAAAAATATATTGCTTATATATTAAACAAAATGTTTAGAAGCTTTTGTTATATTGGGTGGTGAATTTTTAAAAATTAATACAGAATGTCGAGCAAACATCACTGTTTTAACCCAAGAAATCTGCTAGCGGGTAACAGTCATTAGGGTTATGAAATGAATTGTCAGGCCAACAACAGAATACATGTGCTTTATTGCTTTTTCAGTGGAAGAGACAATGGAGCTTTTAATAAAGCCTATGCATCACGAAGTTGACATCTGCACTCAAAAAAAGCCTGATGCGTGTATATGGAGCTTTTGATTAACAAAGAGCAAAAAATATTGGAAGTGCTTCAATCTTGAATTTTTATATGTCCAACAATCACTAAATTAGAGCAGTCTCACACTGAAGTAGCCCTGGCTTCTCTAAAGGGACTATACACAAACCTGAAATATTGTCTTGAAAATATACCATATTAAAAGTAATAAAACACTTGATAAGAAAACTTTACACAGAGAAAAAAAAAGTAAATAAATGTACAAACATTGCACATTAAGATGTACATTTCCTTCAAGCTTCTCCCTGCTTTTTATATTAATTTATGTTTTGCTTCCGCAGATGGCAATTGGTGGGTTGGGGTTTATGAAAATATTATTTTTCACATTACAGAATATCAATACTGTATTCACTCTACATCAAACTGTACATTTCTCAGTAATCAACCCTGATTAAAAGCTCAATTAAAACTTAATTCAAGTCAAGATTCTTAAATCAATCTTTTGCAATACAGATCTAATTTTATTCTGTATCAAGTCCAGTTATACTCAATCTCCAGTCATCCTTGCGACGAGACTACAATTTTGTTTTGCTTAATGCTTGCATTAGGTCTACAAGCTAATGTACAGAATGTTGAAGTTAAATACAGTATTTTATGTAGTGAATGAAAGAGGTACGAAATATTTTGCCATAGTTGTTAGTAACAGCTCGCAGTGCACTGGTACGCATGTAGTGGAACGGATTTCACTAGACTCCATTCTGCCGTCACTCCTTGGGGACCCGGAAGCCATCTTTCTCCTTACGGAGACTCCTCATGGTTTCAACAGGGTCATTCTGCCCAGCATGCTCTTGCACCGACTTCTCTCTGGAATAGAAAGCAAGGAAGATGTGACTTTAAATGATTTCACCACACACCCAGTGAGCATTGGCACTTTCATTTCCATGCTAAAATCCTCTTCTTCCCTGCATTCCTCTATGACACAAAGCTCAAGAGGGCACTTGTGGATTGTCTGATGCTCATATTAAAGATCAGTGCTGCTTGTGCCCACATGAGCGAGTGCTTTTTAAAAATGGCTGAATCATTAGAGTTGTCCTTACTTGACTCTCATAAAGGGGTTGAATTTGAATTCTTCAGCCACAGTGGAGGGGATGGTGGGTTCTCCATTACTGACCTTCTCCTACGGATTTAATAAAAAGCAGAAAATCAACTTTCTTGATTCCATTAAAAGATTGCCATGGCCAATCTTAATTATTAACGTTCACACACATTAAAAGGTCCAATGCAGCCGTTTGCATCGCAATTTCAATATAATTTATTGGTAACAATTAAGTACCTTACTGTGATTTTAATTGACAAAAATAGCTTCTTAACAAAAGGGCAATTTCTAGGACTGACAATACTTTAGCTAGGACTGTCTGGGAGTGGTCTGAGTGGGGAGGGGAAAACGGAACATTTGCTGTTATTGGCAGAGAGGTTTGGAACTCTTTCTTATTGGTCTAACTAATTTACCGCATGGTGATTTCACCATGGAAGGACAAAACTCCATCCTACCCAAAAAAATTCTGACAGTCTTTTCAAACAGCTCTTACACTAAGGGCATTATCATTTTTACAATTTCACAGTATTATTCCAACCTAGTGTGAAAATATATATAGAAACACAGGAAAATGTTTGACTGCACTGGGCCTTTAATGAAATATAGACAATGTATCAAGATATACCTTTGCCCATGCTAGTTTTTTCTTGATGACCTCGTTGTCAGGCTCCACATGTCGAGCGAACTTCAGATTGTTGACGGTGTACTCATGACCACAGTAAACACGCTGGAACACAAACACACCATTGTTCCCATCTGCTGAGTGACCAAGCACGTGTGCTGACAAACTCTGTAGTGTTAGAATTTAACACTACAGAGTTTATCAGCACACGTGCTTGGTCACATTTAATGTAATAATAACGGACCTTTTCTAACCTATAAGACAGACACTGAATAATGTTAATCCATTAGCGGTCATTACATGTAAAGAAAGTTATCATATATTGAAGTTGGTCATGTTTAACACAAAGTGATAGCGGTAGATTTACTGTTTCAGGTGGCAGGCGTCCCAGCACGTCTATCAATGCCCTGTACATCTGTTCAGCTGTACCCTCAAAAAACTTCCCACACCCAGCCACAAACAGCGTGTCCCCTAAACAGGAAGATAAAGGGTCAAAGGTCATCCATGAAAATCTGCTGATTTAATAATACATAGATAACTACTGTAGGTTTACTCTTAGGTAACTCATGTTTAATGATCAGAACTGTTTAAGAGATTGAAGTCCCCTGTGACTGGAACTGTATTACGACGAGTCTATTCAGACTTCACTAGAGTTCGCCTAGCTTTATAAAACCCAGAAATGAGTTACACTATATATACACACACAAAAGTATGTGGACACCCCTTCAAATTAGTGTATTCTGCTATTTCAGCCACACCCGTTGCTGACAGGCGTATACAAAGAGCACACATCCATGCAATCTCCATAGACAAACACTGGCAGTAGAGTGACCTTACTGAAGAGCTCAGTGACAACGTCATAGGATGCCACCTTTCCAACAAGTCAGTTCGTCAAATCTCTGCCCTGCTAGAACTGCCCCGGTCAACTGTAAGTGCTGTTATTGTGAAGTGAAAACGTCTAGAAGCAACAACGGCTCAGCCGCGAAGGGGCCGGCAAGTGCTGAAGCGTGTAAAAATTGTCTGTCCTCAGTTGCAACACTCACTACAGAGTTCCAAGCTGCCTCTGGAAGCAACGTCAGCACAATAACCGTTTGTCGGGAGCTTCATGAATGGGTTTCCATGGCCGAGCAGCCACACACAAGCCTAAGATCACCATGCGCAATGTCAAGCGTCGGCTGGAGTGGTGTAAAGCTTGCCGCCATTGGACTCTGGAGCAGTGGCAACACGTTCTTTGGAGTGACGAATCACGCTTCATCTGGCAGTCCGACGGACGAATCTGGGTTTGGCGGATGACAGGAGAACGCTACCTGCCCCAATGCATAGTGCCAATTGTAAAGTTTAGTGGAAGAGGAATAATGGTCTGGGGCTGTTTTTCATGGTTCGGGCTAGGCCCCTTAGTTCCAGTGAAGGGAAATCTTAACGCTACAGCATACAATGACATTCTAGACGATTCAGTGCTTCCAACTTTGTAACAACAGTTTGGGGAAGGCCCGTTCCTGTTTCAGCATGACAATGCCCCCGTGCACAGAAATAGTTTGTCGAGACAGTGTCGAATTGGAACGCAGAGTGTGAGCCAGATCTAATCGCCCAACATCAGTGCCTGACCTCACTAATGCTCGTGGCTGAATGGAAGCAAGTCCCCGCAGCAATGTTTCAACATCTAGTGGAAAGGCTTTCCAGAAGAATTGAGGCTGTTATAGCAGTAAAAGGGAGACCAACTCCATATTAATGGCCATGATTTTGGAACGACATGTTCGACAAGCAGGTGTCCACATACTATTGGTCATGTAGTGTACCTCTGGTTCGTTCAGCCATTCTTTTGGGGGAAAATTAATGGGGTTTTGGGATAAACACCAAAAATAAGGTCTGAGGTTAACACAGGCTTAGGAGAGCTTATATGTTTTGTTCTGTGAGAATATCAGTCAGTTAACATGACCTTTATGAATTCTGAAGCCTTTGTGCTTGTTTTGATTACTAAATTGGCAGTTGTGTATCTGTACTTTACTATTTATATTTTTGACAACTTCTAATTCACTACATTCCTAAAGAAAAGCAGGTACTTTTTACTCCATACATTTTCCCTGGCACCCAGAAGTACTCGTTACATTTTATATGGTTAGCAGGACAGGAAAATTGTCTAATTCACACACTTATCAAGAGAACATCCCTGGCCATCCCTACTGCCTCTGATCTGGCAGACTCACTAAACACATGCTTAGTTTGTAAATGATGTCTGAGTGTTGGAGCGTGCCCCTGGTCCTCTGTAGCTCAGCTGGTAGAGCACAGCGCTTGTAACGCCAAGATAGTGGGTTTGATCCCCGGGACCACCCATACACAAAAATGTATGCACGCATGACTGTAAGTTGCTTTGGATAAAAGCGTCTGCTAAATGGCATATTATTATTTATTATTATTATAAAAAACAAGAAAATGGTGCTGTCTGGTTTGCTTAATATAAGGAATTTTAAATGATTTATACTTTTACTTTTGATACTTAAGTATATTTGAGCAATTACATTTACTTTTAATAATTAAGTATATTTAAAACCAAATACTTTTACACAAGTAGGATTTTACTGGGTCATTTTCTATTAAGGTATCTTTACTTTTACTCAAGTATGACAAATCTCCCGAGTGGCGCAGTGGTCTAAGGCTGTGCCACTAGAGATCCTGGTTCGAATCCAGGCTCTGTCGTAGTCCAGGGTAGGGGAGGGAATGGCCGGCAGGGATGTAGCTCAGTTGGTAGAGCATGGCGTTTGCAATGCCAGGGTTGTGGGTTCGATTCCCACGGGGGGCCAGTATGAAAAATAAAAAAATTATGTATGCACTCACTAACTGTAAGTCGCTCTGGATAAGAGGGTCTGCTAAATGACTAAAATGTAAATGGATACTTTTTCCACCACTGCAAATTGGAAAGATACTGGCAGCTTACCTGTGAAGACAGCTGGAGGCTCAGTGCTGTTGTCTTTGGTCACAAGGTAGCAGATGTGGCCAGTGGTGTGGCATGGCGTAAACAAACACTTGACGGTAAGTGAGCCAACCTGGCAATGAAATAGACAGGTGTTCTGTTTTAGGCCTGTTATGGTTATTACATAGGTTATTCTGCTGGTAGTTACTCAGGTATAAGGCCTTACTTTGAATGTGTTGGAGTGTTTTACTTTCTTAGTGAGGGCATCCACCCGGTCATCTCCTCCGTACACAGTGAGACCAGGCACCAGCCTCACCATCTTCTCATTGCCTCCCGCATGGTCCCTGCGGAGAGAGAGACAACACATGGTACATAGAAATCCTATAATGCCGGTATATCTAATCTCAGTGTTATTGGACTGCTCACAATGGTAATTTCGTTGAGTCATTTGTACTGAGTGATATTCAAAACAATGAGTGACAACTTGATTTACCAATGGTGATGGGTGGTCAGAACGGTCGTAAGTCTCACGCCGTGCTTTCTGATAGCTTCTACAACCTGAAGAGACAATCAAATTATACATTTTATATACATAATATCCTATTGTTGATCCATCAAAACTAAATTCATTCAAACATTACTTTAATGTTAACTAACACACAGCAGGCTATATTTAATTTCATACCTTCACTGGTTCAACTGGGTCTATGATGGCAGCTTCCTTTGACTCCTCATCAATGAGAAGGTACATATAGTTGTCAGTGAGGGCTGGCAGCAGTTCTATCTTCATGTCGCTCTGCTCCACCAGTAAAGACTTCCTTATCGGGAAATCGGGAGCTTCCTTGTGTAGAAGGGCTGCTTGGACGTGTACAGGGGCTACACAATATTTACAAAGTAGCACATTAGACATATTTGACATAATAGAACGCACTAACCAATTTGTCATCGTAAAATATAAATAGTTTACATAATATTCACCAATCCATTTTCGTGGGAAAATATTTATACAGTTCATACAGGGTAAACATGTGCTTACAATGTACACTAGGGGCTACATAGTTCTTGGACAACAAGTAAAGTTTCGCTATTGTAACCATGTCAGAGAGAGAATGTTGTTGTCAATTTTTTCAAGCCGTCATTCACATGAAAGTAAACAAGAAAGCACAAAGCCAAAGTACTATGGAGTAAGATCAGAATAAATAACAATAACTGGAATCAAATGGTTTGCAAATATTTCGATGCTGCCATTGTATGCATATCAGTAACTAAGCCTTCAGTTCAGTCTGTGTGTGAGAGAATTTTAATAGAGGCAATGCCAGAAAAGGGGATGGATGATGTAACAGCATCAGGGGCTTGCTAAGCGCTAATCAACACAAGTTAGCTAGCTCGGGACAGCTGCTTCAAAGATCTGTGACTGCTTTGACAGTAACTAGCTAGCATTTGACTATGCTGTGCAAATTACAAATAGGAAAGCTAGCTAACATTACATTAGAGTGTCATCAGTGACAGTTCGTTAATAAACTTGCAGGGTTGTTTTGTAGCTGTGGAAAGAAGCTGGAAGATCGGGATGTGAGCGAAACATACCAATTTTATACGTTGCAGCGGCTCCAAGAACGCCAAGAGTGCAGGCACTCGCTACCAGTGACCTGAACAACATAGCAACACTGTAGCTGTTTGCTAAATTCGCAATCGCATGTACAGGAACCAGACAAGTTTGGTTTAAAGAGTTCCGCCTTCTTTTAACGTTGACCTCTACAGATACACCAATCGAATGCGGGGGAGTAGCACGTGAATATCAGCTGATAGGCTGGAGAACGCGAACCCACGGAACCTTACGACGTCATATTTGTATTCAGTTTGTAATATATATGCACTGATTTAGCTTCATTGTAATATTTACATAATGCATTTCCTTCGTATCGAAATATCTCATATTTCTGAATGACTAATTATGCAACACGTCACCTTTTTTGTCCACTCTGGGATACCGTACGTTTTGGTTCGAGGAAGCAGCCGCGGGCAAAGGTCGTTTTGATGGTAAGAACTGCTTCGGAGCAGCTGTAGACTTGACAAGATATCTTTACAATGACTTCACGAAATGTATCTCGGTTTTGGGAGTGGGGAAAGAAAATAATCTGTGTCGGGAGGAACTACCCCGACCATGCAAAGGAGCTGAAGAACGCCGTCCCAACAGAGCCCGTGTTGTTCCTAAAGACGCCATCTGCATATCTGACAGAGGGCTCACCAATCCTCATTCCCAAATACTCCAACAATTTACACCATGAAATCGAGTTGGGGGTGGTCATCGGGAAAGGGGGCACCGCTATTCCCCAATCCTCCGCGATGGAACACGTCGCAGGCTACGCCCTGTGCTTGGACATGACAGCTCGGGACGTCCAGGATGACTGCAAGTCTAAAGGTCTTCCGTGGACTCTGGCCAAAGCGTTCAACACCTCTTGTCCAGTCAGTGAATTCATCCCCAAAGAGCGGATTCCCGACCCGGGGAACGTGAAGATCTGGCTCAAAGTGAACGACCAGATGCGCCAGAATGGCTGCACCTCTCAGATGATATTCTCCATTCCCTTTCTCATCAGCTACATCAGTGAGATCATCACCCTAGAAGAGGGGGATCTGATTCTCACTGGGACCCCCAAGGGTGTATCCGCTGTGCAGGTGCACGATGAACTACATGCTGCAATAGATGATGTTATCAGCATGACTTTTAAAGTTGGCAGACTTTGACAGATCATTAGCAGACACTATAAAATCGGTATTTTATTGTACATTTCTGTAATTTGCTTTTAATCAGAGCAGAGTGCTGGAAGAAATGTATGGAATTACACCGGAATCATTAGGCAGGCCTATTTCATGCAGTAAATGTATGGCTACACTGATCAAGTACATTGTTGTAGTTCTGAAACCAGCAGAGGGCAGTGCTCACTCAAAGATTCATGAGATTGTTCTAAAGATGAATACATATTCTGTCCTCCTACAGAATTACAATGTAGTCTATTACACTAAAACGTGTATTGATTTCACAATGGGAAATATATGATCGATGCAAAACTTGAAGTCTTGAATTCTGGTCCAGTAGATTTCAGACACAGGTGCTGATCTTAACCTTATCCTGACCTATTGTTGTGTTCTGCTCTAGACATTTACATTTACATTTACATTTTAGTCATTTAGCAGACGCTCTTATCCAGAGCGATTTACAGTTAGTGAGTGCATACATTTTCATACTGGCCCCCCGTGGGAATCAAACCCACAACCCTAGATATCAGCCTCCGTCACAGCACATCACTGTGATCATAATTACAATGTTCGTCTTCAAGATCTTTGGGCATGTGTCTTTTTCTCTTGTTTGTGAGGAACATTGCCCATGGCCTTTTGTACTCTGTCTACTCTACTGGGAATAGGAAAAGAATGCAGGGGATTTTCTCTTACAGGCCCAATCCTCTTCAAAGCCAAATTAGCCTGAAGAAATAGTCACATTAAACATTTACAGCCTGTTAATTTATATTGGCATGCCTTTTATAATCTCAAACATTTCATAGATGAAATGAGTCTCCACTACAGTGTCACAGATGAGTGATGTTTGGGACGTGACTTATTGAGAGAGAGAGTTTAGGGAGGTTTGACTCTTGTTGTGTTGTGGACCTGCTGCAAGTTCTCCTGTTATAACAGTGGAGAGGAGACTGTCTTTTCATCCACTGGCTTTATGAGACAGTATATTACACCTGTGTTTTTTGGAAGTGATCAGAGTATCAGACTTCAGGCCTGAGGCATCTCCTTGTCACCCTCCATTTCCACTTGAATCTCTATCTTTTGAAGAGGAACAGACTAAAGGGCTTTTCACATTACTGAGCCAAACCGAATCAAACTAACCTGAGCTTTTCTGTACCTAGCTTGCCTGGTTGTGTGTCCACCATAGTGGCTAGTTGATATTGATATCGGAGCCAGCAAAGCTTGGTTCGGGTCGGCACGGTAGTGTGAAAATTGTATGATTCCTCTCAACCTGCGACAACTCTCAACTGGAATGTTTCTTGTCATAGGATCAAACAAGCCTTTTCATTTGCCTCTTTCCAGGAAAGGACTCCAGATTTTCAGGCTCGTGTAAATTCTGTCTGACTTGATTACAGTCCGTCATTTCTCAGTTTCTCACATCCACTGTCAAATATATCCTCTTATCTGTAACTGGCTCGGGCTGTGTGGCTCAACCGTTGTCCATGATGCCGGTTAATAAGGGCCGTGTGGGTCTGCCGGCTCTGCCCTCTCCGTAACCACATTCTTCCAGGGGTGTTTAACATCTGTTCCAGGTTCAATTACACTTCTCCCACAGGCCTCTCTGCTTTCAGGATCAATCACAGTCTCAGACTGGCTTGTCCCAGGCCTGTCTCTCCCTGTAACCTGAGTCTGTTTGTAGTATACACCATCATCATCCCACACCTCAGAGGTATTCTATCACCCAGCCTCACAACTCTATGTCCCAGCAGCCTCCAGGGGACTAGGGGTATGTCCAACGTGTTCATCATCATAGCAACTATGAAAGGTTCAGTTTTTATCTATCTGAGAATCTCAGTGTAGCTGTAACTGTACCCAACTATCGTCTCTGATACAGTCCCGTGAACAATGATTGGGTTATAGCATATGCATGTGTACGCTTTGTGTAGCTACAGGTGTCTCCTTTTTACGAGATATGATTCATCATCATCTTAGCTTATATGTGTCTGTGAGTATTATCCTCTAGTCTCCTCTTAGGCTTGAACAATGGGTTCAAAGCCGAGTGTGGAGCCATGGCTTAGCATTTAGCACAGTGAAATGGCATGTTGTCATCGAGCGAGAGGCCTGAGAAGGTACACTTAACATTCTCAGGGAGTGGATTACCTGCAGTCAGACCACAGCGTGTCTTCAAACCAACCCGACACTCACACACTGACAGTAACAATGATGTCATTCATTGCAAGGCATCAAGCCAGAGGGGTAAAAGTGAGCCAAAGAGGGAAGTCGCTCTTTGAAGAAAGGGAATCCCATTGTGAAAATAAAACACATTCACTTTTATCATTCTTTCTTTTGAGTGGGGAAACAAAAGCAATTCCGCTGTGGGGTATAGCTTTTGCATTTCTACACATTAATTAGACTAAGCCCCCCAAAAAAACCCCAAGTTAACAGACCAAATACTGACACTCACTCAGTCACACAAGAAAGGTATCAGGTACCATTTAAATTGTCTGAGATACTTCCACTGTGTGCGAACACAGAGCTCTTTAAAAGATGACAGGCCTGGTAGCTGTTATTCCAGGAGCAGGGAGAGGTGAGGTACACAGGCAGGAAGGAAGGCAGAGGAGTTTTGGAGGTTCAGTTCACATAGACAGTCTGTATGACACCTTAATCCATCCTCAGCACTCATCAGCAGCTCAAGACTTGGCGGAAGTGGTAGTGGCAGGTAGGTATCTCTCTTCTCTTGGCTTGAGGACATTGAGTCCCTGCACTTGGGTTCATACAGACAGCAGCTTCCTCCTTTTATGTTGATTTCTCACCCCAATGCTCCAGCTCATCTGTAGGCTGCAAAATGGGCGGTGATTGGGAAACAGTTGATCACTTAAAAAACATGATTTTGTCTGTTCATGTGAAGTCATTTTCAAGTGCAATTTTGAAAAGGTCCTATAGACTTGACTCTGAGATTCCTATAGACTTTTTTATACAGTTTGGTCACGTCTGCGGTTAGAAAATGACAGTTCGTGATGTTCTGCTTGCATGCTGTGCTGTATGTATGTCACCAGACTGTACTGTGGTGTGGCCATTCTAAGAAAACAGACGCCACAGGCACACACATCCAGTGGAAAGAGTGAGGGAGGATTCAATATCACATGCATGACAACAAGGCACAGATATGTCCACATGGCAACGAATGGGAAACTATCGCGGAATAGATAGTATGGGATTTCATTGCTGGCGATTAGCTGAGAAAAATATTGTGTGTAAGTTTGGATTGTGTGTGTGTGTGTGCATCTGTACAGTGAGGGAAAAAAATATTTGATCCCCTGCTGATTTTGTACGTTTGCCCACTGACAAAGAAATGATCAGTCTATAATTTAAATGGTAGGTTTATTTGAACAGTGAGAGACAGAATAACAACAAAATGTATTTTTAAAAATCCAGAAAAACGCATGTTAAAAATGTTATAAAATGATTTGCGTTTTAATGAGGGAAATAAGTATTTGACCCCCTCTCAATCAGAAAGATTTCTGGCTCCCAGGTGTCTTTTATACAGGTAACGAGCTAAGATTAGGAGCACACTCTTAAAGGGAGTGCTCCTAATCTCAGTTTGTTACCTGTATAAAAGACACCTGTCCACAGAAGCAATCAATCAATCAGATTCCAAACTCTCCACCATGGCCAAGACCAAAGAGCTCTCCAAGGACGTCAGGGACAAGATTGTAGACCTACACAAGGCTGGAATGGGCTACAAGACCATCGCCAAGCAGCTTGGTGAGAAGGTAACAACAGTTGGTGCGATTATTCGCAAATGGAAGAAACACAAAATAACTGTCAATCTCCCTCGGCCTGGGGCTCCATGCAAGATATCACCTCGTGGAGTTGCAATGATCATGAGAACGGTGAGGAATCAGCCCAGAACTACACGGGAGGTTCTTGTCAATGATCTCAAGGCAGCTGGGACCATAGTCACCAAGAAAACAATTGGTAACACACTACGCAGTGAAGGACTGAAATCCTGCAGCGCCCGCAAGGTCCCCCTGCTCAAGAAAGCATATATACAGGCCCGTCTGAAGTTTGCCAATGAACATCTGAATGATTCAGAGGAGAACTGGGTGAAAGTGTTGTGGTCAGATGAGACCAAAATCGAGCTCTTTGGCATCAACTCAACTCGCCGTGTTTGGAGGAGGAGGAATGCTGTCTATGACCCCAAGAACACCATCCCCACCGTCAAACATGGAGGTGGAAACATTATGCTTTCGGGGTGTTTTTCTGCTAAGGGGACAGGACAACTTCACCGCATCAAAGGGACGATGGGCGGGGCCATGTACCGTCAAATCTTGGGTGAGAATCTCCTTCCCTCAGCCAGGGCATTGAAAATGGGTCGTGGATGGGTATTCCAGCATGACAATGACCCAAAATACACAGCCAAGGCAACAAAGGAGTGGCTCAAGAAGAAGCACATTAAGGTCCTGGAGTGGCCTAGCCAGTCTCCAGACCTTAATCCCATAGAAAATCTGTGGAGGGAGCTGAAGGTTCGAGTTGCCAAACGTCAGCCTCGAAACCTTAATGACTTGGAGAAGATCTGCAAAGAGGAGTGGGACAAAATCCCTCCTGAGATGTGTGCAAACCTGGTGGCCAACTACAAGAAACGTCTGACCTCTGTGATTGCCAACAAGGGTTTTGCCACCAAGTACTAAGCAGAGGGGTCAAATACTTATTTCACTCATTAAAATACAAATCAATTTATAACATTTTTGACATGCGTTTTTCTGGATTTTTTTGTTGTTTTTCTGTCTCTCACTGTTCAAATAAACCTACCATTAAAATTATAAACTGTATGTCTGTCTGTCTAGGAAACCAACTAGTTACATTCATAGTTTGTCTTCTTGTCCTCTTCACAAATGTCCTAATTAATGACTGAATCTTTGACTATAGTTGATCTCCCACACATGGAAGTAATTACTTTGTGTTCAAGGCAATCCATCATAAATAATTAATAAGTGGGTTGTTGGGGTTTAATA